CAATGTACAATTCTTATGAATGGCAGCTTTTTTCTTTTGGTTTATGTGTAATACATATATAGTTATATAAAAGCGTAGGTATTTGTAACATGCAAAGTTACAGTGGAACTTTTGTATGACGAATTGTTAGGGGATTCTAAAAGTTGTTTGTTATAACAGGTATACAGGGGTTTTAAATAGACGGCGTAACGACAGCCACGAGTTTAAAAAGTTGTCTGTTATACGAAATGTTTGTTATATTAGAATAGTTTGTCGTATAAGAGCCCTACCACACTTTTAGTTTTTAGGTCTAATTACTGCTTTGTTTAAAATTATAACATTTGATGTAACTGGCGTATTTTAAAATACATTTGAGAAGCTTACAACGGCACTGTTGTGAAGACTTCTAAAGTTGCACTTTTGACAGACAAAGACTATTTTTAAAAATTGTTTAAATTTATTTATAAAGAGGATTCATGGCTACGTTTTAGGTCAATGTGGTAGTAATTTGGTTTATTTGGCTCTCAACTTACAATTTGTGGGTTCTTTTATATAAAGGGCATATTCTTACAATTAGTAAAAACGATTTTTGAATTTTGAACATGCGTTGAAAGATTTCGTATTTCACACCTCTTTTCATTACTATATCGTTATGAACAACATTATGGAGTTTGCAATCTTTTAAAATACAGTAAAAGTCTTTTATAACGAGATCCTCCATAACACAATTTTTGCATAAAGAGCATATTTTAAATCTCTGTCTACCCCTACACAGTACATTTAAAACTTCTCTATACGAAAATCTCTGCATAACAAACAAATTTTAAATTTCCAAGCGATCCGTTATACAGGAGTCTTACTGTCAGGACCGAGCGCGAGTTACCCCTTCCCCCCCCCCCCGTCAGAAAGAAAATTTCGAAAAAAGTTGGACGTGGTCCCCACTGTGGATTTTTAGAAAAAATTTTTTACAAAAAAATCAGCACAGGTAGCCTCCTGTGTCGATTTTTTCGATCTCCGCCCTCAAATCAAAAATCCCCGCCGGGCCCTGCCTACTGTATTTTAAAATTCAAAAATTAACTGTACGTTTAGTACACTCAATACACGTGGTAAACTCGGAAATGCGCTTAAACATGTTGTGAGATCATTAAGCGATTAGCTGTTATGGTAACTGTCCAAGAAGTGGTTTTTATTTTTATTTATGAATTGAAGAAATATTGCCAAAGGCCTTATTGTTCTCTAAAATATGTTTTTCCTCCAAATTTCCTCTTGTTTTCCCTTTATTTTTTGATTTTTCGTTTGTTTTTCATTTTCGAATTTGTAATGTTCCCTCCGGGCGCATCTTTTCCGCAATGAACTGCCTTCAATTAGGTGCAAGCTTTACAAAATTGTCAGTGGGAGGGGGTTTTGCAAGGCAGACGAATGGTTGGCTGGTAAGCAAAGAGAAGATTATAAATTGGGAGGGGTGTTTTTAGATGACCTTGTAAGGGAATAAAAAGAATGGAGAAAGAGAAATAAGGTAATAAAAAGTTTAGTAGTGTCGACTAGAGTAAAGTTAGAAAAAAACTAGGTTAGAGCTAAAGCACGTGTGGAACAAAGCTAAGGAAGGGCTAAGTTTTGACTTGGTGAAAGCCTAATTGTAAGGCATCTTGTAAATGTAGGGTGAGTAGGATAGGGTAAGGTAGGGTAGGGTAGAGCAAGGTAGAATAGGGATAATGTTTTTGTTCAAACTGTAGTAAAATACTATGTAATATTACGTTTTTGGCAATTACCCTTCTCAAAATACTTAATATAAGACAATGTAAAAAGCAACAACTACACTTAACCGTAAAGTCTCAAAAAAGATTCACGCCAACTTTTTACGTTAGAATTTTAAAAGTATGTGCTTGAGATGCATTTGCAAAGGTTGAAACAAACGTCTCCTCACGAGAATGAATAAATTAGGAACAGAAGGGGGAAGGAAAGGTATTATGCAACCACATACTATAATGGATTATTCCGAAAGTAGAGGAAACCGAGGGGCAAAGGAAACGTTATGAATTTTGCCCAAATAATACGTGGTTATGCGTTCTGGAGGATGGGTGGGGAAAAGACGGAAAGGAGCTGGTAGGAGGGAGGGGGGTGGGGGAATAAGTAGAAGATGGAAGAAGAGAGAGAGAGGGGGGGGAGGAAAAACAATTTAAAAAAAATTTTTTTAGTTTGGTTAACTTTGGCATTATTTACTGTAAGCTGTGAATAGATTGGCGGTAAGACTTACAAAGCTGGGCGGGGGTAGTTTGAAATGGAAGGGGAGGGGGAGATAGAGAAGGAAAAAAAAACAAAAAAAATATTTTTTTTATGAAAAAAATGTTAAATCGTTTTTTCAAAAAAAATTTTTTTTGTTATTTCCCCCCCCCCGCCCTCTCCCTCCTCACAAATTCGAATTACCCCGCCCAACTTTCTGCCCGTTTTTTCAATTTTTTCAGTTTTTTAAAAATAATTTTAAAGATTTTGTTTGCCAATTTTTAGATTAAATAATGCTTTTTTTGTTTCCAAATTTTAGGTTTTGATATATAGTTATGTAACGTGCACTCTTAAGACTTCTCACGATTTCGCCGTGCTGAACTAATGAATTTTTGTTATTAGTTATTTCCAAAAAAATATAATTTCGATGCAAAATTTAGAAAGAAAAATTAGAATTCTTTATTTTTATATTTAAAAAAATGGGCCATAGGCATGGGTCTTTCCATGCCGTGGGGAGGTCGAGAAAGGAGAAGAGATATTGTATTCCCGAAATTTTTTTGTAAAGGTAAGGCCTGGGTCAATGCCTCAAAAGCAGCCCCATAATTTTTTCTGACCCTTAGGGTAGGGTAGGGTAGATTAGCCTTTTAAAATCTCATTTTAATTTTTTTTAAAATGTTTGGCCAAAAAGGGCTGTATTTTCAATTTCATGCCGTAAATGTCGACTTCGAAAAGAGAGGAAGGGAGTTGTAATTTAATCTTTTTTCTTTAAACGGGATTTGTTTTATTGATACATTTACATTTTTATCGTTTTTTCAAAGTATTCGTAATTGCCACTATCTAAACATACCATCTGCGTTTGCATGGTCAACAGCGTGGTGGGGGGTGACGTGATTAACGGTTTTGAAATTTTAATTTTTGGGTTTTTGTGGATTCATGAAGAAGCACTATTGGTTAGGGCAAGGCTGGGGCTATACTAGGTTTATAACTAGTCTAGCCCCAGCCTACCTCTTTTTATATGATTAAAAAGCTCTATGATATGGCTAGATATGGTTAGGAAACGGTCAGGATTGTTTAAATTTTTTGACAAACTTAAAACTGGGATAGATTAAGTTTAAAAAAGACCTGAGTAGGGCAACTAGAGAGCAAGGGTAGGGCAAGGGTAGAGTAGGTTAGTGATAGAGCATCAAAGAGACGGTGGTAGAGTTTGTAACAACGTAATAGTAAGGTAAGGTATAAAAAAAGATACATCAAGATTAAGTAGGCAATTGCTAGTGCTAGACATAGGAACGGGCCGAGCTTAGATGCTGAGCCCGGACCGACTTAAATTTGGATCAATGACGTTCCGGCCCAGATGTTGTTACTTGCAAACTGGCCGTGGTTTTCGAGTTGGGCCTTGATTTTGGCTTGGCCCGATATAAATTTAAGTCAAAGCCGGCGTGGCCCGTTATTCATTTCTAGCTAGAGCCAAATCTAGGGCTGACCTGCGAATTTAAAGTTAGCAATTATTTTAAAATTTATTTGTTTGAAAATATGTAGGTGTTTCTTACGTTCCTAGAAAGCCAAAAAGATGTAGCAGTTGTAAGTTTTCGGATAGCGTGATGTTTGATATGACATGTTTGGCCGAATACTTATTCATATAGATCTGCAAGGTCATCTTATGAATTGTTACTAGCCTTTTCTTTTTCAAAAAACAATTTTTTAATTTTTTGTCGGGCAGGAAAAGATAGATACAATAAATATGTTTTTAGATGTTTTACTGAATGTAGGGTTTAAATTACTACGGTGAATACTTTTCATAATAACATAAGTGTTTTAATTGTTTTACGGGACATAACAAAAGAAGTCTTATATACATTTTATAACTTATTATTTATATGTAGACACGGAAATCTTAAAATTATAAATCTTACACTATGTTTTATGTTGTACTTACATCTGTCATTATGTAAAGCATTAATGTAAATGATAATTTTATTTTTTTTGTAATGCTAGGTTTACAATAATGTTTTTACACTACAACGTAGTATATGGCGAGCAATATTGATTCAATAAAAAGAAAAATAAAAAATAAAACATTTTTTAAGATATGCAAATTTTTTGTTTTTTTGGGGTTTGCAGGTGAGTTGAATTTTGATTTTTCTATTTTTTTTGGTGGGATTTTATTTTTGATTATTTGATAAGTCAAATTTACTATTAAATTGTTCAAAAAATAATGAGCTACCAAACCGTGTATATCAACCAAAATATATAATATTAGGTTCTTCAAATAATTCTGTGCTCCTAACCCTGAAAATGTTTCTTGCGAGAAAGCTCAGAATTATTTTAACATTTTAATACTTTAAATTTACTATTATTTTAAAGTATTTGTCATGTTAATACAACATTTTTTGCCATCTTGATACAACTTGTTTTGCCATGTTGATACAACATGTTATACCACCTTGGCTTATGCTAGTTTGCATTCTGAAATATGTCCGATTTGCGTGCCTAAGGGCATTTATTTGTTTACATTGCCATTAATGTAGCATGTATCACAACATGTACTAACCAACAGGCGGTTTACTATATAAGTGTCTTACTTTTTGTTGTTATAGGTATTCGTTATGTTATTATAGAGAGTACTTTTAACCAAATATTATCTTATTAGTTTAATCTTTTAAATTTTTTTTTCTAAAATTTTTGTTTTAAAATATGGCACGAATGTTGAACTTCGAATTTGGGCTTCGAAATTTAAGCCGATTTTTTCATTTTAGGTATATATGTCTATGGAACATCACCCGCGTATACCGTGACTACCAACAATGTCATTACTTTGTGTGACAAGTAAGTGGTGTGCGCACTCTTGTTTTCGGGTTACTGTAATTGTGTAGGGACACAGTTTTTATGGGTTACGGTGGTCTTACACGTTTTTGTTTCGATATACATTTGTACTATTTAGTATAGGTACTACAAATACTTTGTATTTAAAGGCATGTACTATTCAGTTTGATACTAAATAGTACTAAATATACGTAATATTTAGTTTAGTACTAAATTTTACTGAGTATGCGTACTATTTAGAATAGTACTAAATAATACTGGAAACACGTATTTGATAGCATGATACTAAGTAGTACTCTGTATGTATGTCTTAAAACTATTATTAAAACTAAAAATAAAATACAGCATCTTATGTTGTCTTTAACCAGAGCTTTTCAAAAACTACAGTGAAAACTTAGAAATTACAGTAACCTCGTTTATTCTATCGCTTTTTGACTACTGTTTAACTTTTGTTTGGTTTTTTAAGTATTTCCTGCCTGAGTTGTGTCGTGTGTTATAAATAATGCTCCGGCAGGGCAGTTTGGATGTCTACACCATTATCGTTTCAGTCAAACGGGCGACGCTTCAAGGTGCGACAGGTAGGTGTTTTTGAAGTTTTAACAAAAATTGGTAGGGAGAGGGGGAAGAGGGGTGGGAGGGGGACCCAACTTTTGTCCACCCTAGCGTAGAGCCATAGCCTAGAACACTAACACTGAGCCATATACCAGAGCCCTAGTCTAGGGCCCTAACTCAGAAGTCTCTGGCCCTTAAACCTAACACAACTTAACGATAAAGTTATTATATGTTTATTTTCAGAAGAATTTCACTCATATGTCACGGTAAAATTGCAAAATGTCAAATCGACCACGGTAGCAGTTAGAGGCGCGAAACCATCATGGGAGCAGGAATTCATATTGTAAGTCATTTTACTTTATATTATATGTTTAGATAGCACCCTAAAGATATTTTACCTACATATTTTAAATAGCCAAAAACAACACGCGTATTTTACAAAAAAATTTAAATATTCTAGCGAAACGAACCGGCTAGACCAAGGTCTAATGGTAGAGCTCTGGAATAAGGGAGTGTTATGGGACAAACTGATTGGTGTTCACTATCTACCTCTATATCAAGTGCAATATCGTGCAGGGCCTGGGGCTGGAGCATGGTTAAAAATTGATCAAGAGCTGGAGACCAGAAACGGTCAGACAGTTGGCACTTGCAAACCGACCGGTCATTCGGTCATGGTGGACGTGAGGTTTGAACTACCGTTTGGTAAGCGTTTTGGTAGTTGTGAAAGGGGAGCGGGGAGATTTCTATCTTAATTGAGAGAGAAGGGTAGCGTACGATAGGGTATAGTAGGGTGAGGTAAAAAAGAGAAAGTTAACAAACTTGTAGATTACATATTACACTACTAATTTACTGCACTTTGCCCTTTACTTTACATTGTAAATTGCTGTAGTTACACTTTATCTCGCACTAACACGCAAGAAAACAAATTATCTCAATAATTAAACTTTAAAAGCCCTAAATGTAAAGCGTTTTGTTTACACTGACAGTGGATTACAATACTTTACTTACATATTGTAAAAGTAAGGAACAAATTGTGGTAGGGGTACTGACTTAAGCCAACAGCTATGTTAAGACAACATTATTTAGTGTGAAAAGTCAAAAGGTACTATTCACTACTACTTAAGGTAAGACAAGGTAACAGGGCGGGGAATTAGGATAAGGTTGCTTAAGCTATAATTTGGGTAGGGTAAAGTAGAGCACGCTGTTAGGTAGGAGATTGTAAAGTAAAGGGTAATGCAATTGTCAGGCTAGGGTATAGTTTCTATGGCTATGGCGATGGCTAAATCCTAAGCCAAATCCAAAGTCAAAGATTAGGCTAAGCCTAAGGTAGTTAGCTCTATCTACTAAAAAAACTTTAAAAAAATAATTTTCACCATATAGTAGTGCAAGCTCCATACCCACTACCCTCTAGCATATGTCGATACTCACTCGTCAGCATCGAATGTGTACTTATTTTCCCAAAAGTTGTTTTTGTGCTCATTAGAGGCGAGTTTCGGCTTCTCACTTTTCAGGGCCAATATTTTTCGTCTCTTAATTCGATGCTCTCATAGTTGTAAGCAAGTAGTTGGTAATTTCAGAAAAAGATATTTGTATTAAGCTGTTTGCTATGTGAGTACGTAATGCAATTTTAAAACGGTATGGTAGGGATTGCTAGAGAAGGAAACTGTAGAGTAGGCTAGGGTAAGGCAGAATAGAGAGTAGTATGATAGAATATGGTCAATAATAGTACCCCTCCCTTTTCGTGTTGTAAGGGTTTGAAGGTTAGGTACCTACTATAACATATCTAAATCTTATTTTTAAATTTCGAAAATAGTTCAGCTGACGTGCGCAAATTAATCCAATTTCTATCGGTAACATGGTCAATTTAGATAGGACATGTTGACGTGCTTCGAACAAAAAAAAAAGATTCAACGCGAGATAATATGATATATAAAACGGTAAACAAATAGGAAAATCTGCATGACTAGAATGACTTTCGTTTCTAAATTTCGGAAAAATGGTTTAGTTTATGTACCGTCAGTTTTCAAATGACAAAGTAGGGTAAGATAGAGTTTGGTAAGGTCATAGTTAAGGAAAAAGCTAAAGTTAATGTTGAAGCTAAAACCAAGCCCAATGCCAAGGCTAAGGCAAAAGCTAAGGCTAAGGCTAAAGCTAAGGCTAAGGCTAAGGCTAAGGCTAGGTCTAAGCCCAAGGATAAAACTAAAGCCAATTTCAAGGCTCTGTCGAGGCCTATGGCTAGGGCATAAACTAGGGCTAAAGCTATTATATCTTTCAACCTTCTCCATGGCATGTCCGGGGAGCGAAACCACTTTGAAATTCAAAAACGAATTTTTTATACATACTTTTTACAAGCCCTTACCGGTAGAACGTAAAGGTACAGTCAGTGTTTTGCCGGACCGGTCCGCGGGCGGGTCCGGTCCGGTCCGGACCGGACAAACCGAAACAAAAATTTTTGCGGACCGGACCCAAAAACCTGCGGACCCGGACCGAAGAAAAATTTTTTTTTATTTTAATAGAACTGATTTAAAAATTGCAATTAGAATGTATTTTTAAGAGTTTTTAAGCAAAAAGAAAGCAGTTTTAGCGCTCCTTGCTTTTTTTAAAAATAAAAAAAAAAATTTTTTGCGGACAGGACCCAAAAGTTTTGGGTTTGGACCGGACCGGACCGGACCCAAAAATTTGAAGTTTGGACCGGACCGGTGAAAAACGCTCCGGACCGGTCCGGGCAAAACACTGGGTACAGTATCGTGAAGGCTCTAGGACTGGAGTTTTGTATTTCAGAACTTACATAACGTATATCTTGATGTCTAGAAACGTTTTCGTATGTCAATAAACAGTAGCAAATAAATAGCACATCAAATAAAACGTACTTTATCGTCAAACAGTAGCATGTTGTTCCGCCGAGGCTATTAGTACATTGCTTCTATTTTTGTGAATCAGGCCCGTTGCCACCTCTTTCCTCATCCTCCTCCCCCCCCCCATGACAATTAGGGGGGCCGCGTCTTTCAAAAATTAAACAGAAAACACACCTGAATAGGCATCTGGAGGGGGCTTTCCGGTCCGGTAATTCAGTTCGAAGACGAAAGTGGAGGTTCGTGTGGCACGGGATTTCCTTCTCAACTTTGTGTGTTTAATGCCCTCTGGGGGTTTTTGCCGCGCCGGCCGCTTATATTTTGTTGTTGTTATTATTTGGGGGGGGCTTCATGCCGTGCGGATTTTTAGAATATTCTCCTTTTGGAGCTGAATGAGTGATAAGCGTGACGTATTGGTCTTGTTTTGCGGCCGCTCAAATTAGCGACTAATTTGGTGGTAAAGAGGGGAGTTTACAGAGTAACAAATGTTTGTAATTTAGGTAATAAAGAGATAACGCAAAGAAGAGTGGATGTAGGGTTGAAGGGCAAGGGAGAAAGTGGAGGGTAGGGGTGAAAACCAGTGTGGAGAAGGAAAAAGGGGAGGTTGGATATGGCTTGATAGACTAACGTTTTTTGAATGTTTACTTAGTGTCACATACTAGTACTATTAAGGTACTATTTACTACTTGGTCAGTTAAGATAGGGCATGACAATGTATAGACTGGGCAGGATAAGGTAAAGCACGCCAAACAATGGTCGTATATGTAATATAGAAGTAGGGTAGGGTAGGGTAGTGTGAGATAGGGCAAGGTAGTGTGAGATAGGGTAGAGTTAAAATTAAGCGCAAAGAATTAATAGTGTAACATTTGCAAACATGTAGTGTATTAAAATTGGCAACGTTAAAGCTTCCTAGATTTTGGGGCTGATAATTGGGTAACGATTCATGTAAAATACGCTTTGTAAATATTTTTTAAATTTAATTTTTTTTCAAATTTAAATTTTAAGTTTTGAAATATACAGGCATCAAAAATAGTTTTTAAGCTCATTTTTCCCATTTCTCACTAGCTTAATATATCCAACTCAAGTTGAATTTTCAAGTCTTTTGTTACCTAAAAGCACAACAATACTATTTTCCGAACAGTCCAAGCCTAATTGAGGTGTGTACAATATTGTACATAACAGACAGAGATAAACAATAATAATCGGACGTGTCCCGGGGCGATGACTTGAAAAGAATGTCCTTAGTGCAGAGCTGCATACTCGAGCAGTTTTATACATACGCGATGAGCACCATATTATTTATGAAAAACGACCGGCAGACGAGAGGAACGGTCGCTAATGAGGGCACAACGGGCTCACCGTGAATTCACTGTGATCTTTTTTGAGGAAAAACATTTTCTGCTTTTTTGTATTTTTTGGGTATCATAGTAGTGGTTTAGTGATTACATTGGGGTAAGGGGTCTAGGGTAGGGTGGTGGGGAAGGTAGAGTCGGACAAGACAGAGTAGGATAGCGGGAAGAGACTCACCCCCTTAGAAATGAAGAAAAAAAAATAATTCCACCGCCCTTTGCTTGTAAAAAACAAACTTTTCACTACACCCTCCTCCTCTCAACAATCCCAACTAAAAATTTCTATTCTTGCCCTCTCCTTCCATCATTTAGCATTATTAGATATAATTTAGGCTTACATTAATTTTTTTTAGTTTAATTAAAAAATTGGTATAAATAATGGGTTTAAAACGTTTTATTTAACTACACGTGAACACAGAGTAAGAGTATAGTTTAAATTTAATAAAAACAATAATTGAAGTCTAACTCTAGCATGGGTGGTCTTTAACAAAGCTTCAAACAAAAAAATGTATAACTTAAATTTATAATATTATGATTAGATATAGTGCTTGCGTTTTTCAACTTTTAAGGGCTTGCTGAGTATTTTGGAACATAACATCTAAAACAACATGTTATACAGAGGTTTCAATCAAAATAATATTTTTTTATATCAATTTTACAGTATTAGGTTCTTCAAATAATCCTGGGCCCCTAACTCCGAAAATTTGTTTTGGGAGGGAGCACAGAATTATTTGGACAACCTAAAGAATATAGAAGGTAACTGTAGATGTAGCTATTCATATTGGTATATACTGTTAACGCATTTTTAAAAACAGTCGTTTTTTGAGTTTAAAATATTTTTTGTTGATTTTAAAATATTGTTTTTTACTTTTAAAATATTTTTTTCATTTTTCGACTTCCCTGTTACCTAAAATATTACTCGTCCTACGCTTTTTGGGTAAAACAATAATATTTATTTTTAGACCAATGTTGTGTTTGTTTAATTACTTTTTTTGGTTTGTGACATTAATATTAACAGCTGGAAGCAAAATTATTTCTGTTTTTGCAAATTATATCCTAGTTTTTTAGGTAACAAAAAAGACATTTTAAGAGTGCTTGTGCTTTAAAAGTCAAATAAAGTAGTAACAATAGGGTAAAATGCTATTAATATGGGTTTCCAAAAGTCTTGTCGTAAATTAGTGAATATTTGCGTGGTTAGAAACGGCAAAACTTTTTTAACACTATTTTTTTTAATTTTTGAAAATTTATTATAAATCAACATCGTAAAATTTAATCAACGTATTTTACTATATTATAAAGGCAATATATAATACTTTCGTTAGCCTACAAACAAAAAACCACCAGACGTATTTACTGCCATGATCACCATCTGAATCATTATTACCTAATTATCTGGCAAAGAATAGAAGATGCCGTTATGTTGCCAATTTTAATATACTATATGTTAGCAAATGTTACATTATGATGTCTTTGCACTCAAGCTAATTTTATTGCCTTTGCTCTACCCTACTTTATTTTCTTCTACCTTACCCTATCCTACGCTACCATCCCCCCTACCCCCATTACCTTTTACATTTGCACCGTCCTTATATATACTATAATACATGCCCAAACCAAATACACTTCTAAACCCTCCCCCCCCTATGTGTTGTTAATGTTTGTCTAATTAGCAAATGTCCAAAACACTATCTCAACCCCCCTCCCCATACACTTAATCTGACACTCGAGCACGTTCGTATCGTATGTTAGGGGGAAATCGAATTACATCGTCCTTTTTATAAATGTAAAAGTGTTTTGTGGATTGATGGATGGCCGATGGTTATAAATTATATTTTCAGAGGCCCAATCGGCCGATGCGGACGAAGTTCAACGCCGGCTTCAGGAGCTCAACCGGTTTGTCGAAAACGTGAGTTATAGTGATTTATCTTATCATACAGTGGGTTATAGTCATATATTTTACAATACTGTAAGTTATAGTAATGTATTGTGCCAAACAGTAATTTATAATAATATATGTTCTCATACAGTACAGTATAGTAAAATATTTTACCATACAGTAAGTTATATTCATATTTTTTACCATACAGTACTTTAGAGTTATATATTTTACTGTAAAGTAAGTTATAATCATATATTTTACGACACGGTAGTTCGTAATGGTTTAGGTGACTAAAACACATCTTTATAGTAAGATATGGTTGTATTAATACCTAAAATAGTATTTTTAATTTCAGGAAGGTCAGATTATTCAGCGTGCCCCCTTCAACCACTGTAAGTGTTTTATTGCACATTATTTAAACATGTGTAATCGAGACGATTGTCATCCGATACATATGTATACATACATATATATTATAACATCTAGCATTTAAATCCCATTTTTTGGACATTGATTTGAACTACAATATGTTTTCAGTGTTTTTTTTTGGGTTTCGGGGTGGTTTTTTTGAAATTTTAAAGTCCTAGGTGATTTAAGATTAAATTAAGGTTAATATATATGATAGATATAGTTTTTAGAATAAAATTACATCTATATAACACCGAAAATAAGGTCAAATTGATAGAAAAACGGCTCTAATCTACCTTAATATAGCATCAGATAGAAGAAGCTTAAAAATCCGTAAATAAAGAATAGTATCAGATAAACATAGTTCATTAACTATCAAAAAAAACTTACTATAGCCCAGAAGAAGCTATGTTTATATAGAAAGCCAGTGTAACATCGTAGAAGTCGCTTTGTCTGTGCGTCGAAGCGAATTCGGCCGTTTTTTGTTTAATTAAACTTCTTTTTCGGCTTCTAATCGCCGAGATTGACTGTTGGACTTTCTTGACCGGATAACATGACGTCGTTACGATGTAGCCGGATGTACATTCTGCAATTTTTATCTTTATTAATTTTGTTTTTGAGGTAAAAGTGGAGGGAAATAGATATAGAGGTTTGAATTAAAAAAAGGAGCGGTAGAACTTTGTAAGGGAAACATAAGTTACAAGGACATTACTTCATAAAATTTATTTGTCTTCAATATCTACATATTTGTTACCTTTTTGGCATTAATTTAGGTGAGATGCGACTAATCTTTCAAAGCGAATCATGAATAATATAAATCTTTTGTCGATTGAGCGATTTTCGGCCAAAGCTGGTGTAATTGGTATGTTTTTATTGTGTTTATTTTCTTTTTAGGTATCTTTATAAGAAGAGAAGGTTAATCAAAACTTAGAAAACCGATTTTTGTTAAGAATATTACAGAACAACTTTTTGTTACCTAAAATAACATTTTTGGCGTTAGAACGCCATTTTAATCTTCATGATTTGTCCTTTCTTCTAAAGATACCTAAAAACCGAATGAACACAATAAAAAACGTACCAATTATACCAGCTTTGATCGAAAATCGGTCCATCGACATTAACATTTATGTTATCCATGAGTTGTCTTCAAAGATAGCCGTATCTCACTTGAAATAATGTCAAAAAGGTAACAAATGGTTTGATATTGAAGATAACTGACTGTTTAACACAAAAACGGCAGTTATTGACATCAATAAAGTTGGGATAACAATAAAAATGCCAGAAAAAATCTTATCTAATTTTCTTTAGCGGGAGTCTCAGAAGATAGTGACTACACATCAGACGTCTCATTCCCGATCCATCATCAGAACAATCAATCAGCACATCAGTGGGGATCACACCTTCATCCTCACGCTGGTCCAGCCAATTCGGGAATCATTCAGAATCCGCCCTTCGAAGAGGAGTTTGATGCTCATCCAGAGGACATTCTAAGCGTCAGTACCAACTTTCAGAACTCGCAGGACTATCAGGGGGATAACTACGGATTGGTGAGTAAAATATTGCTCGGTTTATTGAAATTTAGTTAATTTTAGGTAACAAAACTATTTTTTTTAGGTATGAAAAGTATATTTTTTGGTATTTTAGGTATATAATAGTCTCTAAAATTTAATTTTAGCTCTTAAAGGCTTAAAAAGCACGGTGCACGGCTCAAGGAATTGATTAACTATCAAAAATACTCGTTATCTCATGGTTAACACCGCTCTTTGAATCTATTTTTGGCTAAATTTGTTTGTATTTTCAGTCCAATTACTCCGAGCCTTACAATTACGAGACGGAGCGCTCCAGTCCGCACGGTCTTCGACGCTACAACGACGAGCCGGCTTACGACAACGGGCAGGTGTATCCGACCGGGTATTACGATGCTTACATGCATTCCATACCTGAGGACGAGTACAAACTGGAAGACAATGAAGGCAATGTCTACAGTGAGGATGGTAGATTGGGTGGGTAATGTAGGGTTAGAGGGGTAGGGCAGGGCACGGCGGCGTAGGGTAGAATATGGTAGTATGGTAGGGTATGGTAAGTTTTGTAAGGGGGGGGTAATGTAAGGTAGGATAAAAATGCTATGATGGAGTAGAGTATGTTAAGTTAGAGTACGATACAAACTACAAAATTGTCATTCCAGGTGCATACCCCACAGCATCATCGGTAGAAAGAACCTCGGGCGAAGAGTACAACACCACCCCCTCATACACAGATACCTCACTTCACAACCAACCCCGGTCCAACTACACCAAGCCTGATCGTATTGTTCCAAATGGAACATACGACATTCATCAACAAGTGTACAACGAGTACGCTCAGTACAATGACAGCACGTACAATGAAGGCACGCCCGAGGAGTACGATGCTGAACTGGAGGATATTGAGCCACAGTACATGGATCGCGCACGACGAGGATTGAGGCGAGTACAAGTGCAGGGAGAGTACGGGTATGAAGGACAAGGCGAAGCGGGTACGTCCGAGTACGGCAACCAGGAGGAAGGGTACTTGAAGCGACAGTACGACTTTGGCAATGGCTACGAGGAACGACAGTACGATTCAGGGAAAGAATTTGATACTTCAGGTCGACAGTACGACTCTAAGAACGAGTACGATACTCGACAGTACGACTCTCAGACAGAGTATGACGCTACGGTTCCTGACGTTAGCAATCCAGACTATGTCGATGACGCTCAGTATGGTGCTGTAAATCCGAATTATGATTCAGGAAAAGAGTACGATACCGTGAATCGACAGTACGGCTCACAACAAGGTTATGATTCGAATGAACAGTACGATTCAGCAAAGGAGTACGATGCAGTAAACAACCAGTTCAGTGCGGCAAATGATCAGTATGATGCACTAAAGGACGAGGTGGTTTTAAATCGACATTACGACTCTAAAAATGAGTTTGAAGTAGTGCACCGACAGTACGATTCTGGAAGTCAGATCAATGATTTTCATCAACAGTTCGAACCTGATCATCCATATGATGTTAAGAGACAGTACGACTCGGATAGACAGTATGATGGCGCAGAACAGTACGATACTGAGCATTATGAACCAGATGGTCAGTACGATACTGATCAGCATGGTGCTAATGAAACGAATGTTCCGTACGATAAGGAAGGAGAATTTGGAGAGAAACAACACTACGATAATGCACAGTACGATACTACGCAGTACGAGGATAAAATTTACGATCAAACCCAGTACGATGCTACACGGTACGACTCAGAACCCTATCAGTCTCAACCAGAGTACGACGAGAAACCTCAGTACGATTCGGGGCCGTACAACGAGTACGAACAGTACAACGACGTCAACTACAACAACAAAAACCTTCAGTACGGAAGCGACGAACAAAAGTCGGAGTACGGATCAGCAAGGTATCATAGTCATGATGATCAAACAAGACCATCGAGTTCGGGAGAGAAGACTGGACTGTCTACACCACTGAATCCAGTCGAAGTTCAGGACTACAAGGCTCAGCTGGCTGCGGCTGGAAGGAGGTATGACAGTAAACCTGAAGAGTACGATATGGCGACGTTTGTGGAACATAATCAAGCTTACTCTGACTTTGAGGATCGGCCACGGTAAGCTAGGGCGTGGTTGATAAAAATTATTTAAAAAATTGGCATTTTTTAAAAATTTTAAATTTTCAGTACCTACTCCCAACAAAACACTGACGAAGAGCGTCTATCCTATTCTAGTCGACCATTAAGCCAACAACATGACCAGAAAGACCACAAAACGGGTAACGGGTTTCTTCCACAGACCCAGGCCATCAATGATGCTAATGCTTTGGCCGGTATCTATGTGGAAGAACATGATCAACAAGTGCCTCAACAGTTCACCGATTTTAACCATGACATTGGAGACGGATTTGGTGAAAAAAGCATGGAATTCAAATCGACTGGTCGAATTGATGAATATGCAAAGGAGGTTGATGAATATGGCAGAACGATTGAAAATCATGTCGATGAATACAATCGACCGGTGGAGAATCATGTGGATGAGTACGGAAGACCAGTATCAAGTCAGGTGGATGAATACGGAAGACCATTAGCACCTCAACTGGATGAATATGGCCGACCAGTCCCACCTCAAGTAGACGAATATGGTCGACCAGTCAATAACAAGGTTGATGAATACGGTAGACCAATTCAGAATCACGTCGATGAGTACGGTAGGCCAGTAGCCGGGCATGTAGACGAGGACGGTAACCAAAAAGTGATCGATGAATATGGCCGACCGGTTGAAAATCACGTCGATGAATATGGAAGACCATTACCGTTATTGGATGAGTATGGTCAACCAATTACTCGACCAGTCGAAGATGGGTATCAAACTGAAGGCGAATATCGAACTGATCAGGAAATGGAACTGTAAGTTATATTTTGTCATTTTCAAAATTTTTAATGTTTAAAGCGGCTTTTTTTAATTAAAAAATTATAAATTTTAAAATAATTTTAAAGTGTTTTTTACTTTTGCAGACTGCGGGACATGTCATACGATGAAACATGTACTTTAAAAAATTTTTTAATTTAATAAAAAATTTGTATTTTAAAGGGCACGGCTGTATTTAAAATATTGCTTTGAGTAAAACTAATGTAAAATACGACTATTTATAGCGAGTTTTGTAGTAATATTTCAATTTCAGAGAACAAAAGCCACCTAGAAACTATCATGAACTGTGGAAACGAGCATATCAGTACATGTGTGAACAACATGGCATTCAGGTAGATTTTAATTTTTAAAATTTTTCATTTTTTCAATAAAAGTGCAATTTTGCATATTTTTTAAATACAGTATTAGTACTAAACTTTGTATTGTACTAATACTAGTTCTAAATTTTATATTGTACTACTACTAGTTTGAAATTTCCTATCTTTGTAGTACTATTTTAAGTAAACTATTAGTACTATAATAGATTCATTAAAGAACCACTACCAAGCTAAACAAATTACTAGTACTATCTTTATTACACTATTAGTACTGAGTTTATTATAGTACTAAGACTAAAATGAATTTAGTATCAGTACTATACTTGTTACAGTACAAGTACTAAGATAAATAAAGTACTAATATTTGGTTGAAAGGGTACTATTTTCATTACAGTATTGGTACTAAATTATGTGTTTTACAGTACTAGTACTATATTAAGTTTATCGCAAAAATATTACTGAATTGAGTATAGCTCTAAAATAGTACTGCATTGAGTAAAGTACGAAAATAGTACTGCCCAAACGAAAACTGGTAAAAGAAGTCAATGACCAAACCCGAGTTGTTATTAATCTTTCGGCCCAAAACGGGCCGCTTTTATTTTAATTTTGTTTTGTTTTTGGCGAAGCGAAAACAATGGAAAGATGTCGGCGTTTACCTGCTTCGTATCATCGTTTCTTCAGGCGCAGGTTGGTTGGGCCGTCTTCCGAACCGTTTTTCCTCGTTTTGTGGCGTCTAACTTGGCTACAGGGCTATGAAAGTAGGGTAAGGTATGCGAGCTTATGTTGACCAGGGCAGGGCATTTTTTGGGTAGGACAGGGTAAGTTAGGCTATAGTAAGGTACTGTAGGGTGAGGTAAGGTAGGTTATGGTGAAGTAGGGTACTGTATTGTACCGTACGGTAGGGTAACCACAGGTATGGTATTTTAAAATACTACAGTATACTAATATCAATGACAACATACTACTTTTGCTTATTAATTCTCGACTGTGGTAAGCCGAAAGTAATTGGAATTTGATGTGTAAAAAGGCTTGTTGTTTGTTATTGTACATCTTCAATCATGTGTTATGTTCGTATAATCTGCCGTTAATTGGGGTTTGACTTACTGTAAGGCTTGTTAAGTTGTGGTATTTTGTTGGGAATGGCATATTATCTTATGTATCTGGGGGTTTATCGCAGTTTTCATGGTTGAATACTCAGTCTGACATTAAACTTCATGGTTATTTTGGGAATTTATAAGTGTATATAAGGGTGTAGTAACTTGTTATGAAGTTTATTTTACTGTGGGCACTGTTGCCATAACTTTTTGTCTAAAAAAGCTTACGGTATGATGACTAATATACTTTTAGAAAGCTGTGGTTTGACAAAGTCATATTATATTATAGTATATAACTTACTATATCTAGTTAGAACTTTAAGTTTCAAACATCTGCTTAAACCAAAACTGCCAGCTTTATGCATGTATAACCCTTTATACCTAATGCGCAGTATAGATACATATAAAATGTATGTTTATTACTTTTCAAATTCGTTTCAAACTTTTTCGACACATAGACCTCAGCCGTCGTATATCGTGCGACACGACTATCTATCTCAGAGTAGATGTTGTGTCTTTTGATCATCATTAATGTTTGGAGCTCTCAATTGTTAATGAGAGGGGAGATACATACAATGATGACGTGTGCGTTGTAGTCAGTATAATACAATGTTTTGGGATAGCAGGTTCAAATACTACTCTTGATACAGGGGTTGGGCAGATTAGGGTATTGTAGCGTGGGGTATAGAGTAGGATAGGGTAGGATAGAGTGTGGTACCGTTGGGTAGGGTATGGTAGAGTAGGGTAGGGTATTTATAATTCTTTGACAAAACATGGGCATTTTTGAAGCTTGTCTTTGCAGTGTAAGTCTTGAATAAGGTAGTACATATATTTAAGCACTGTAGTAGGGCACGGTGCCACGTTTTTTCTTTAAATTGAGGAAGGAAAGGGGAAGGGTAAGATAAGTTAGGGTAGGATTAATTAAGTTATGATAAGGTAAATTTAGATAGGGTAGGTTAAGATACAGCAGGATCTTGACCGATTTTAAATACTTTTTTTGTCGTTAACATCTCTTCAGGTTGGTTGTAGAGCCTATTGCGCTGTTTATGAGATTGTCTAGACGGCTTACGTTTGATGTTTTTTGTTCTATTTCACATTTTTTAAGATTTTGTCTACTTTTAATTATATTTTTTGGTTTTTTTAAAAATATATTGCTTATAATATCCTATATCTACTTTGTATCTACTATTTTTAAACATAAATATACACATCAAGTACGAATTTGCAAATTGTCTACCATTTCCAACAAACACCATTCATCGAAGAATCGTATTTGAATTGGAAATCCAAGTTTGTTATCGCAGCTCGTTAATGATTCATGACCTTATCAAATTTCTGTTTAATGAATTCTGTCCAAGTGGCCGTTGTTTTGTGTGTGTGAAGGTGTTCTTCGTTGTTGTCGGCCGCTTTTCGAGCGGGTGTGTCTGAGGTCAGGAGCGTAGTAGTAAATTAAATGATATTGCGATGAGAAAACAAAGGGAGCGAGGAGATGTTCTGTACACCTTCTATATATAGGAGGATTTGTAGATGGAGAAAATGGGCACGGAGAAGATGTGTGGGGAGAGCTTGTAGCATTATTGTTGGTATGATGAAGGATAGTGGTTCTACAATGGAGTGGGAAGGGGATGAAGAGGAGAGGTGTTGCTTTGTTCTGTAGGGATGGAGGGAGGCAAGTGGTGGTTTTTCGAAGGCATGGGGCAGGGTAGGGAGGTGAATTGGAGGTTTTGTAGCATATTGCTCAGTAGTAAAAGAGGGAGGCAAAAGATGGTTTTTCTAAGGCATGGGGATGGGTAGGGAGGTCAGCGGGAGGTATGAATTTTGGTATTATTTTGGTTTTCTACATGGTACAACAGAGTACATAAGGTCTTGTAACCGCAGCTTTCTTAAAAGTAAAATACGTAATGCTTACTTATGATCTTTTTACGATAGTCTACAGTATAAAATATTGTTAATGGGGATAGGAGTTGTAAAGAAGGGAGGACTTTTTTACAAAAATTTTGTTTCCTTCCTAGAATTAAGTTCTTTTGTCATTTCTTACTTTTGTAACACAGAATTTAGCATCCTGTCCTCTCTACCCTTTTTCTCGTTTTACTTTTTATATTTACTTTTTTCTACCTTTTCTACTCTACCCTTGCAACCCTTTACCATACTCATACCTAACCAAATTAACAAAACAACTCTACGATATGTTCCTTAAAACTTGTAGACCCTATAAATTTTGTGGTAACGACATGCACGTAGGACGTGCTATAGATACTCGGCGTTTATGTTCTTGTTGTTTAAGGTACAGAGAATTAATAACAGCCTGAGGGCATTCGGGCCTCTCTTCTTTCTCTTTTTCACGGTTTAAAAAAGTTTTGGCCTGTAAATAGGACAATGTAGAGAAACCGTTTTTTGTATGTTTTGGATGTGTGCTGGTATGCTATTGACGTACTACAGACTATTTATGTCTGTAGTAGTATGTCGGAGAGTAGAAAGCTTATACTTTGCGCCGGTTTTCTGAACTTTGATGCGGTTTTCTTTAGTATAATGGAAGGCTGGCAGAGTAGAAGGTTTTGTATAGTACTGAATTGTTACTCATAGTACGAGCTTTGAAAAAGTGTTTAAAATTTAAAGATAAATCTGAACTCTTATTTAAAATACGGATCATATCTAGGTACTTCATCGTCATATAGCTGTGTAATAGTCTTGTTCAAACTCACATACCCAAAACACGTGCGCTAACATTTCGTTTTGAACCTTGTTTACGTTTTAACGGACTGTTTTGCATTACAAGGTTCGTATCCTTTGCAAAGATATATATTTTTAGTCGTTTTTCGAACATTTTCACTATTTATTAACACCTATATATCAACATAGCATTTAAATACTATTGTACGAAAACGTTTTTTGTTGCATGAGTTATTGCTTCTTTTTAGTAGTATAGGGCTTCAAATAGTGTTAGGATTGAGATTTAGTGATGTTTGCAGGAAAAATGAAACCATATAGAAGCTAGGATAGTGGGAAGTACATTTTGCGTACAGTGTTCTAGATTGTTATATGGTTTTTGCATTCTTTCTGCAAAATGAAATTTTAAATTACTTTTCTCCTCTACTCTACAATATAAATTTGCTATTTACCCTGCCCATTTAAAAAAACCCTTAGCGTTGCATGCTTTATAGTAGGGAAGGATAGGGAAAAGGACGGTAGGTTACGGTAGAGTAGGGTTCTGTAAGGTACGGTAGGGCAAGGTATGCTAGGGTAGTGTATAGCAAGGTAGGGTACGATGCGGTAGGGTAGACATATATTATACATTTTAATCTTCTCACTGCTTCCTTCCTCAATAACTTCCTTAACAGTTGCCCTTTTACTTACACTGTAAGAAAAATTCCGAAAACTTTCCAAGAAACAACAATATCTTACACTCCCCCCCCCCCCTCTTTCTTAACACACTTCAACAATGCACTTTAAAGCGGCTAAATTTGGTTGAAGAACTATTTTATGAAATTTTGGCAAAAAACGCGAATTTTGAATTTCGAAAAGCGAGGAACAAAAAACGGGAATCTCGACTTACATCAGGAGAGCAAGGTGACACAGCCTCAAAATTGGTATTTTTATTGCCATTTCTTGTGTTTTTTTCTTGGACGGCCCGAAAAGGCGCGGAAAAGAACTTGGCCTGAAGGAAATTCGCCGTGGCCACGCGAAAACCTCACTTCGGAGACTTGTTATAGATTAACTTTGCGCAGGGTTAATTGCCTGAGGCCGTGTTCACTGACTTGGCCCTTTTTTGCATTGTATTTTTTCACTTTTAATTGAAATCATCGAAACTCTGTTTCACGGTGTTTCTTTGCCTTCTGAAGTCCGACGAGGTCGGGGGCGTGGGGGGTTTGGAGTGAAAGTAGGAAGGGGTGATAAATTATAATTAGTGGGGTAGTAAATTTCGGTTGGAAGGGGTGATAGACTAAAATGAAAAAGGTAGTAAATCTTAGTTGGAAAGTCTGGTAAACTATGATTTAAGTACAATAAGGAAGGGTAGGTATGCATAAAGTTATTTATAGGCTACTATAGGCTTTTTGATGGATATTTTTGATCTTTTGACTTTAAGAAAGGCTTTTAAATTTTTATAATAATGATCTACTTACTTTAGTCTTGTGTATCTTGCAGTAGGTTTAGTTTAAAAATCTACCTTAGTTGAGGTCTAAGTTTTGTAAGAAGGCTGGAATTGTCGTCTAGACTGGCTTGTTTTTCGAAAAAAGAAAATTACTTTACAGTTTATTTTGGTCATCTTGGACAATTTTCAAGCGCAAAGACAATTTTTTAAGTAGGTAAAAGGTCTTTTGTTAAAATAAATAGCACTAAAATGGTTAGGATGGGGTGACAAACACATAGTTATAGGTTTTACTTGTTAGAACTGTTGTATGGTACAGAAGGCTAAGAAAGGTAATCTAAGGTAGGGGACGCTATGATAAGACAGAGTAGGGGAGTTTAGTATAAAAGCCGATGCTCGGTTATTTGTCTACGTAAAGTACTTTTAAGCTTACTAAGTTCAGGTTTTAATTGGTAGGTTTAGTTATAGCTCTACTTATACACGGTGTATTCATATGACGTTTGTTAAGTTTATAATTACTGTTATTGTGAGGTAGTTTTTGTATCACTTGGATTCAGTTAGTACGTAATTAATTTGGTAACATTAGTTTTGAAAAGCATGGTGTTATGAACATTACCTCAAGTTTGTGACTTTGATTTTTAACTTAAAATATCATCTTCCAACTTTAAAAATTATGGATTACAATATGCATATTATAATATATATATATATGAACTTCTATTTTCATATTGTAAGGAAAGTCTACTACAAGCTTAATGCATTAAAATGACGTGAATTTAAATTTTGCAAATAAAAAAACTAATTTTAACGTATTTAATTCTAATTCAGTTCCGTGAGATTAATATTGTTACTTATTTTAAGCTTCAAAATCGAAAAAAAGTACGCTACCTTTTTGAAAATATGCCCAATGGTGATTAATGTTTAACATTTCCGGATTTAAGATATACGTGTGGTACTGAAGATACAAAATATACAAAAAGTTGTGGCAGCTTGTGTTTTGGAACATTTCAAAATATGTTTTTGCCATTTTAAAAAGTTACGTTTTTGAAAAAATGTAGTTTTTATGTACAATTTGTTGTTTTTGCTACATTTTTTAAAATTTTAGTTTTAAGGCTAACAAGGAAGGTAGGTGCCTGTTCTGCTCCGCTTTGATTGAACAGGTAGGGTACTTTCCTTGTTAGTTCTAAAGTTAAGAAAAATGAAATTTTTAAAATTTATTTTGAATTTTTACTTTCACTTTGTCATTTCATTTCTTCTGTAATATCAAAATTGTAAAGAAATCATTGTTCTGAAAAGCAAGTTATTACAATGTGTAATAATACTACGGTTTTTTTTATCTTACACTTGGAATGGCATTGTTTTTTTCTCGATTATGTGTCTAGTCATTAATGTAATAGGTAATAAAAGGTAATATCTATGGTGACGTTTAATTTCATTTGAAAGTTTTTCAGAAGTAGAGAATTTATCATATTGGTAGGATAGGGTAAGGTAAAGTAGGGTAGTTTAGGTAAGTTAGGTAGGGTAGGGTAGGGTAGGTATAGCTAGGGCTGATGGTATTTTTAGAGGGTAGGGTAGGGTAGGTATAGCTAGGGCTGATGGTAGAGATAGAGCTCAGACCAGGACTAGTGCTAGGGCTAAGGCATGTTACACAAGTTTAACTAGTGTACCACTATTTCTTCTTACTATTTCTAATTCACTTATATTAATATATTTTTGAAATATTTTGAAAAAATGCATTTTTACAGACATTTCGGACATGTAAATAATAAGGTGTCAACATGGTATAATATACTTGTGTCATTATGTAGAGTGCAATTTAATATTCACATAGCCAAAAAAAGTATTGTTAATGTAGGTGTTTGTTTGTTCTCTTGCTAGGTTGACCTTCAATGTATAGTCTATAGGGGTTGGCAGGGGATGTCTTATTATGGGGGTGTTAAAATAGGTATTTTTAGGTAATACTAAGTTTGTATTGGAAGTATATGTGTTAAAGGAGGGATAATATAGGATCCTTAGGCGTAGTATCTTATTTTCAAGCGTCATACTATCTGATTTTGATGTCTTTGAGCTAATTTTAGCTTACATTCTTGTAGGTATTGATAACAACACACATTGACACAACTTTTTGTGACAGTATGTTTTAATCTTCTTAATTTTACATTGAAAAAGCACAGTAAATTTCTTTTCAAAACACAAGTTTTACCCTATTTTTGCCAAAACATGTAATTGTACTTTTACAACCGTCTTATTAGTGTTGTAACTTTACTCGTTAGGCTGAGTAAAATTACTTGTTACTATATATATTCGTGGTTACTTGTGCTGTACATCATGTGATTTAGTGGAATGGGTTCGGTTTACTACATATGGGGTTTGGTATTGTATATTGTAACATAAGGAACATTGTATTAGTATGGATGGATAGAGTAGAGTAGGGTAGGGTAGGGTAGAGTAGGGTAGGGTAGGGTAGGGTAGGGTAGGGTAGGGTAGGGTAGGGTAGGGTAGGGGTAGGGTAGGGTAGGGTATGGTAGGGGTAGGGTAGGGTAGGGTAGGGTAGGGTATGGTAGGGTAGGGTAGGGTAGGGTAGGGTAGGGTAGGGTAGGGTAGGGTAGGGTAGGGTAGGGTAGGGTAGGGTAGGGTAGGGTAGGGTAGGGTAGGGTAGGGTAGGGTAGGGTAGGGTAGGGGAGCATTAACAACTGCCTTTAATAAAAAAATTTAAAATAGATACGATTTCTAAAACCTGCCCTTACAAGATGTTTAATCTTAATATCTCCTACAATAATCTCACCAAATTGCAAATTGTAAGAAAACCGGATGTGATATTAAAATGGTATATTAAAGATTTGTTTGTTCTCTGAAGAACCCTTAAGTTCCCTTAATAGTTCCTTTATTTAATCCTCAAACTTTTGAATGGAGTATTTTTATTTTTCGTTGAGGACAAATTTAAATTGGACGAAAAACAAATTTGAATAAATTGAGGCTGCAATTAATGCGTTGGAGTGGATTACCTCATCATTGACTGCTTTGGTCTAATTAATGTTGTTTTATCTTGGTTTTTTGTCATTTTTGGCTATGGCTGGCTTTTTAGTTGGGGGTTTTCTAATTTTTTACAGGAGTGGGGGGGGGGGGGGGGGAGATCGGGTGACATTTTTAACAGTTTATCTCTTGCTTGTTGGCGCTTTTCAGAAATACCACTATTTTACATATATCACGGGCCAAAAAGTACGTGGTACGACTTTACTTTAAGAGTTTGGGTGTTTTAGTTTTTAAAAAATTATTGTATTTTCTATGAACTTCTTGATCGAAAAAAGTTTAACTATGTATAACGCCTTGTCGATAAATTTTTTCTTTGAACTTTTTGGCCAAACAATTTTTTTTATTGTTTTTTAACTTAGCTTTCCAAATTTAAACTTTTCTACAAACTTTTTGACCGATTTACTAACGCTTAAAGACCAAAAACATAAAACTTTCGAACATTTTATTAATTTACATTTGCGTAAACACAAACATGTCAGGTGAGACGGCCGAAGCTTTTGGGAACGGCGACAAGTCCACTTTACATGAATAAAGTTTTTTGGCAATGATGTTACACGTCCAATGGCACGCTTCTTTTGTTTTATTTAGGAATTGGCTTCTTTTTTCATGTTATTATAGGTTTAAAGGTGTTTTGTTTATGGTGTTTTACTATGAGGTTAATATTGTCATTTTTAATAGTAGTGGGTTGGGTAGGGTCGGTTAGAGATGGGAGAGTGTCAGTTGGAGATAATATAGGTTAGGTAAGGCAAGTCAGGATAGGGTAAGGTAGGGTAGGGTAGGGAGGGGTAGGGTAGGGTAGCTTTATCATACAATTAAAAAATCTTTAATTTCTGATATTTTACCATGATGTATAGCTTAACATCGACTTGATATCATATTAACATTAATTTTTACAAAACTAATTGTATCTTCAAAGGTACCGCCATTTCCTTTAAGCCCATACTCTTATACTCTTTCTAAAAATACGTATTCATCTTCATATTTCTATAAAGATACGAACATGTTCTGCTATGTTTCTAGGTTTTAATTCGATTTATTGTCACCCGGGAAACTCGGCCGCTTTCGGCTTTTGCGGCTCGCAAAACACCGGTCTGATATTCACCTGGATATTCCGAATTTTTAACAACCGTTTAAAAATAGTGTAGTTCGAGTTGACAGACTGTTTTTAACTTTTTAATAGTATTATACTTTACGATATTGAATAACGAAAGGGGTGTTGAGTAATTTTTAAAAATTTTTTGGAAAAGGTTTACAGGGGGGATCACGAAGTTTTAACATTTTTTGGGGTGGGGTAGGGGTACTTTTGTCATTTTAAAAAGGGAGTTGAATAAAATTTTGTTTTAACAAGTAGGTGCAATTTTGCTGACTTTGTGCAAAAAAATCCACAGGGGGACCAAGTTCAACTTTTTTCAAAAATGTTTTTTTTCATTTTTTAATACAAGCCTAGAAAATATCCGATTATCATTCTCTGTTCAAGTTTCACGCTATTACCATCCTCGTTCCTTCGCTCAACCAATGTTATTGCGTATAATTTCTAGCGAGTAGAGTCGGTAGCGAGTGCTTTGCACGGCCCACTTGGCTGATGATGATGTAAATCCGCGGCGGCCTTTCCTCCAACACACCCCTCCTTCTTCCCATGCCTTCCACACATTGACAACGAGGCGACGTGAGGACGATTAATCTGAGTACGAGCACGTTGGTGGGCGCGGCCGCGTTCGGCCAGTCCAATCTGGCGTCGCGGCGTCGCGCCCGTCGCGAATCCAGCATGGTGTTGGCCTCGCTGCCGCCCGCCCACATCCTCCAGGCCCATCTGCAGCCGACGAAGGAAGAGCGACCGTTACCGTTGTCGGCGCCGCCAAAGCCAACGAATTCCGGGGCGACGTCGCCGGCTGCGCCCGGGGTTGCGGGCACGTTGAAGGCGATTGGCAACGTTCTGGACACGGCTTTTCACCTGCCGAGGAAGATAACCGAAGATAGGACAACTAGTTATAGTCCGCAAAGTTTGCCCGAGCCTTTGCCGAAACGACATTACGACGCGAGAGAGGTGAAGGCGCATCCGGTTGTGGTTATCTACAATCCACATACGGGCGGGTTTCAGACGATTGATGCGCCTCAAGGCAAGTTTTTTGATTTTTATATATTGTTCTTTAAATACGATGTTTTACATGCCGATAGGGGCAAAATTTGATTTTATAGCTTTTTTCAATATTTTTTGACATTTTGCCACATTTTTGTGACATTTCGCTAAAATTTGCTATCTTTTAACAATTTCGTGGCATTCAGTTTCAATTTGAAAATTTAAATCATTTGTGACATTTTGCAACATTTTGAAATTTTTCAATTATTTTTTTGACATTTCGCAACATTTTTGTGACATTCCGTTCTATGGCCAAACCGTCGCATCATACTTCTTGCGTATCTGCGTAATCCAAATGTAAACACAGACACTTATTCCATTACTTTAAATCATGCGAAACTTTAGAAGTTAATTTCGGCCGTTTACAACCCTTTTGAGGAATCTTTAGTAATTTTGCTAAAACACTCCCAAGTTCGCGGCCTAAACAAATTATGCGCTAAAATTGTTTTGTAATGCTGAGGCGACGTAAGTTTTAGAGTTCTGAGGGCGGATTTGGCGATTTTTGATTTTTTAAATTTTAGGTAACAATTTTTCTTTATAAGTAAAAGTTTAATCCGGGTTTTTGGAAAATAATCGTTAGGTATAGTTAAAAATGGCATCACAAGTTAAATTCATCACTTTTTTTGCCAAAAATCACTTTTAAGTTCTCAAAAAGTCGTTTTGGCGCAAAAGCTAACCTAAAATCATTCAGAAATCACGGACCCTTCTTCGCCGATCGTCCGCGTTCCATCGGCCGAAAACTCCCGGGCCAATGCTCTTTTGGCCTTCTCCAAAAGTTTCAAGAAGATCAAACGTGCCAAAACCATGAACAACCACGAGCATCGGAAGAAGCGAAAGAGGAAAAGAAAGCGTTTGCGTCGGCGGAGGTCTGCGCCGATTCTTCGAACGAACGTCAAAGAAGAGCTGGTATGGGCCTTTATCAATGATGTCGACCTGAGCCAGCCCGGTCGATTACAAACAGTTGATAGTCAGATGAATGGAGATCGACTGAGTGTTTCAAGTCACGATCGGAAGAGGAGTTCTAGTTTGATACCGTATAGTGATAAGGAGAAGAAGAATGCGCCTGATAAGCATGAGTTGTTGAAGAAGAAGGTCCCATTGGCTGAGATTTACAAACATAAGGTTCAGATTTGAAGTTTGAGTAAAATACGGTGTATAGAGTATTTGAAAGAAATTTTAGCTCTAAACTTAATAATCATATAAGGAGCTTAAAATTCAAAAAGCTTGGTCGTTGGCTTCAGAAATCGAGATCAGTACTACTTCAGTACGATTTTTAAAAAAAACACTATTATTTTTAGTACTGTTCTTTTAAAAACGGTACTATTTAGTACTATACTCAGTACTATAGTAAAAACTTTAAAATTTTGTGAAAAGGTCCTAGTAGACCTACAAAATAAAAAAATAAGAAAAATTGTTTGTAGTACCAATAATAACATTTCAGAGCACATTGTTTGGTCAAGGGCAGAAGGAAAATGATCCAGCCGCCTTTTACAAGTCGATTGATGTCATGCCTAATATGAATGTTGGCCCTAACAAAAAGAGTATGCCTTTGGTTGGGGAATTGGTAAGTCGACCGGTCGTTATTACTTACTTTACTCTTGATTGATTAGGAGGTCTAGTTAACATTTTGTTTTACTGATCGATACACTATAATAGGTTGTAGTCTTATAGCGATTGATTGCTATAACACTATGACCTGGTGTTATAAATCAGTGTTTTGATTGAACAAGGTTATATTATAGTTACTGTCTGGTACTATCAAAGTAAAAAATGTTATTACTTTGAGGCTTTAGAGCAGTAAAACTAAACTTTTACTATTTAATTTATAGTAGGTTCTTCAAATAGTTATGTGCCTCTTAATCCTAAAAAATTGCTTTGAAAGAGGCACAGAATTATTTGAACAACTTAATATTTTGAAAATTTTCTTTGAATTTAAAATTTTTTCAAATTTCGAAGAAATTTTTTTTTAATTTTGAAATTGAATTTTTAAAATTTTTTGTCTATTCAACTCCAAAAATTGGTATTCACTATCAGTAATGATATGTATCTATTAGAAACAATGTGAATCTTGATCTATATCTATATATGTATACGTATTACCACATCTTTATATCTATTCTACACTATTTCTATGTGTACACGATGTATTAAATTGTTCAAATAATTCTGTGCCCCGCTTTTAAAGGGGGGGGGTGGGCACAGAATTATTGTAGCAATCCAATACCTTTTTAATTTTATGAAACAACAAAAAATTATAAATTTGAAAATTTTTGTTTCCTCAAACCCACCAACTCTATCTCACCTCCACTATCTAAACTTATGTTGGTTATAGGTGCTCCAGGTAAGCCGGTGGTCGGATAGTTACAGTAGCCTTATACGGTGAAGGGACAAGTTTACTCTTTTCAGTGTTTCCTTTTATTTTCACCTTTCACCACCCACCAAGCACATTGATCACCAAAATGTCAAAATCTCTGCGTATTTTACATTTTTTTTCGAAAATCTAGAAAATATGTCATAATGACACATTTTTAAGTTCATAAAAAAGGTTTCTGTTACATGTTTTAGTAGTAAAATACGGCATTTTCGATATTTTCGTGATCAATGTACTATTGTTAAGTTCGTTCCACAAATCCCTCACTTATGCCCTCAGGGTGTTTCAAAATTTTTGTCATTTTAAATTTGAAGCAAAATGTCAAAACTTTGAAAGTCCTGTAAAATCACTGTCCGTGAAGTTTTAAACGGTTATTTTCAATTATTTAACTACATTTTTCAATGGTTTTCCCATTAACAATATCACTCAGTTCACTTTGGCTACCGTAGTCATGCAAATTTATTTGTTGTTACAGTAATTTTTTAATAAAATGGGAGTTCTTGCCGTATTTTATTATTGAAATTTAACTTACATCAAAAATTTGCATAATTTACGATAGACGTTATCACCTCGCTTTGGTTACTGTAGCATTACGGTAATAGATACCAAATAGTACTGTAGCTTCTTAATATAAGTGGTAAGGTAGGTAGTACAAATATGATAATGGCAGTACTATTTGGCTTTTCTTCGCAGTACCAGTAATGTTACAGTATCACAAACGTGTCGTCCTCACTTTCAACCCCACCGTACTGTGATTAGTGCACTTTTGTCATCAGTTAAAGAAAAAAAGGTTACTGTAACGGTATTCAAATTTGATTTTCAGACTGTCGCTACAAATCGAGCTCAAGCTGTTTTGGCAAATGCATCCAAAACTACTATGCACGATGAGGAACTTGTAAGTTATCCGAGACAACCCTACCTTACCCTACCCTACCTTATCCTACCCAACTAAGAAACAATGCTGGGGCTGCTTTTGAGGCTTGACCCAGGCCCTTGGCCCAATTTTTAGGCCCGGCCGTTCTTTAATATTTTTTTTTGCCCGGGGCTACTTTTCAAGCTGGGCCCGCCGGTCCATTTTTCGGTCCGGCTAGTTTAAAATTTAGCTGAAGGCTCTACAATCAGATCGGGCCTACTTCCTCCCTAGCCTATTCTACCCTACCTTATCCCACCTTCTAATAACCCTTTCATACTTTGTTTAGAGTGACAAAAAGACCTTGTTTTAACAGCGACAAGACTTTTTCTTTTCTTTTTTATGCACATGTTACTATATTTCAGAAAATGCTGGTCTACCGAAAGACGCTGCAAGCCCTTATCTACCCAATCAGTGCCACAACTCCACACAAATTTCAAACCACCAACTTCCAGACGCCCACCTGGTGCTACGAATGTGAAGGGCTTCTCTGGGGATTGGCTAGACAAGGGCTAAGATGTACAGAATGTGGGGTTAAGGTGCATGAAAAGTGCAGGGAATTACTGAGTGCTGATTGTTTGCAAAGTAATTTTTTTAGATAGGAAAACTTAATCCGCCCTGTTAATTCTTTTTAAAAAAATTTTAAAATTTTAAATTTTTTGACCAAAAAGTACTTACCCTTTCCTGATTTTACTAATATGGCGTAACTTGCTATATTTTTTATCTTTCAGGAGCAGCCGAAAAGTCAAACAAGCACGGCGAAGGCGACAAAGCTCAGAATCTGATAGCTGCTATCCGAGATCGAATGAAGATCCAAGAACGAAATAAGCCTGAGATCTTCGACACAATCAAGACCATATTCGATGCCGACGATAGGATACAACAGGATACGTTGAAGAATGTCAAAAACTCGATTCTGGAAGGAAGTTCCAAATGGAGCGCCAAAATTCACTTAACTAGTAGGTTTTTGAAGTTATATTATAGTAGGGTAGGTTAGATCGGGGTAGTGTAGAAGTGGGTAGATTTAGGTAGAGTAGAGAAAATTTATTTTGAGGGCAGTTCAAACGTAAATATTAACATTTTATCACTACTATTTCAGTTATTTGTGCCAAAGGATTGATCGCCAAAGACAAAACGGGTAAAAGCGATCCGTACGTGACAGCTCAAGTTGGTAAAACCAAAAAACGTACTAGTACCATTCATCAAGAGTTGAATCCGGTTTGGAATGAGAAGTTTACGTTGTAAGTTTCGGGGGTAAAATACGCCTGCTCTAGCTTTTATTTTAAATATTACTTGAAAATTGATGGAGAATTGCCATGCTTTTTGTTATATTTTATTTTATATTGCACTTTAACAAAAATAAAACTCAAAATAAACTAAAAAAGGTCTTGAACAGCTTTTGAAATGAGTTAGAACACTTATTATTACCTAAAAACAAAGTTTAAAAAAATTGAGGATAACCGACCTTTTTTGCCATGGATAATATAAGTTTCCTTCAGTGAATGTCACAACTCGACGGATCGTATCAAAATACGAGTATGGGATGAGGATAATGATCTCAAGAGTAAATTACGACAAAAACTGACTCGAGAATCTGACGATTTCTTGGGTCAAACCATCATTGAAGTGAGAACGTTGAGCGGAGAAATGGATGTTTGGTATAATTTGGGTAGGTTTTTGGTCATTTACTTTGATTTCTTTAACTGTAAAACTTACTTTGATGTTTTTAGCTTGTTTGTATTTTATATTTTGATTGAATTTGGTAGAAATTTTAGGATTTTGGGTGTTTTTTGGGGCGATTGGCATCTAAAACAATATAAATTTTAAAAAAATTATTTAGATGGCAAAACTGATCGTTAAAATAGTAATTAATGAATTTTTTTGTCACAAAAAGAATATATTTTACTAATGAAACGATTTCAGAAAAACGAACGGACAAATCAGCGGTCAGCGGAGCCATCCATCTCAATATTAAGGTAGACATCAAGGGTGAGGAACGTCTGGCTCCATACCATCTCCAATACACTTGTCTACACGAGCACATGTTCCAACACTACTGCCATGGAGAGACCGTCAAGATCCCGGAAGCTCGAGGCACGGAGGATAGTTGGAAGACCTACTTCGATGACGTCGGTCAAGAAATAGTGGACGAGTTTGCTATGAGATTTGGAGTCGAAAATATATATCAAGCCATGACACATTTCGCATGCTTATGCAGTAAATACATGTGTGGTGGAGTGCCGGCATTGTTGTCAACCTTACTGGCCAATATCAATGCTTACTACGCTCATGCTACTGCAACATCAGCTGTCTCGGCGCCAGATCGATTCAATGCTAGTAATTTTGGGAAAGATCAGTTTGTTAGGCTTCTGGATCAGCTACATAATGGACTGAGGATTGAATTGGGCATGTACAGGGTAGGCTTGGCTTTTTGAAAGGGTGTTTTGATTTTAGGGGGTGGATTTTAAAGTAAAATCAATGTTAAACGTTCAAGATAAAAGCTGTTTAATGTGTTAATGATAAAAAAGGTTTCAAATCAAATTAAAAAAATGTTTGTGAGGTCTTTTGTTTGTAGTGACAATTTAATTTTGTGCTAATAGGTTAAAGTCAGAGATTATTATATTAACATTGCCAATATGTAGTAGGTTATGCTCAATAAGCGAAAGTATAGTAAATTAAGTTAGACTGTGTGAAACAAGAAATAAAGATTTTTGATAGTAATGTCATTTTAAACAGCTATTTTTTACTTAACTCCCTGTAACAGTAATGTAATCTGACCTTGCACATTAGCAATGCGGACATAGGTTGGGACAAAAACACCGGTACCAATTCATTTGCAATAACACGATTAGATTTGTCTGGAAAAGGTTGTTTGTTTACAAAATTTGTTTTTTCGCTAACATATAATGAGAAAATACCTTGATTAACATATCATGTGTTAATCATACCATGTGTTAGGGTCAATTTTTTTATTAAGGCATTCATTGATATTGACATGGGTATAATGAAAGGAATACGGAGATTAGCACGTATTTATGTCCGGGGTACAGGGGTGGTAGGGGAATGGCAATGAAATTTTGTTTTTTTGAGGATGAGGTGGTATAGGCGGTGCACGTCTGTCTGAATTAAAACAAAAATTTGAAATGGAATTTTCTGGCTTTTCGTTACATTTCAACGCAAAAATTAAAATAAAATTTAAAAACAATTCGCAACGAACGAAAAGCCACTATTGATCATTTCCCATTTCAGACAGACGTGCGGTGTCGGGCGGGTGATTTTGGTCTGAGGGAGGGGTAAATAATTTTGGCTTCTGGGAGGGTTAAAACAAGGTAGTTCCTTATCTCTCAGCTTAGCAATTGGTCTTGTTTATAAGTAATGATTTACTATGTTTTTGAGTCAAATTTACTGTGAAACGGCTTCTTTTCCTATAGTAAACATAGAGGATACGACGATAAATGTTTTGCCAACGTACTATTTGTTTATACTCTTATTTACTTTTAAAAGCTATCAAAATATGCATGTATATGTGTATTATTGTTTAGGGTAGAGGAGTAGTAAAGTAACGTATTTACTACCAATAGATCTTACGATAAATATTTTGCTTTTTGCTCTTATTAGGTTTCTATTTATCTCTAGTATAATATCTACTTCAATCTGCTTTAAAGTCTTTTTAAATTTGTTGTAAATATGATGACATTTGAGCGTATACGAAGGTCGTATCACTAAGAATAGACAAATCTTTTTACACTTTGAGTATTAATATCTAAAGGCATTACTGTAATACCAAAAGCGTTATTGTCAGATGTATCGTATGTTTTTGGGATTTCTGTGTTTACTTTGGTAGATTTATATATGTTCTTAATTTGGTAGACTATACAGGGGATAGCTTTTATAATAATGTAGGTATGTTTTGTTGTGAGATGTGTTTAGATGTAAATAACACGGTTTTTACTTGGTGTAGTGTAAAATTTAGGTTGTTTTATTAACGAATGCTTAAAGAAAGCGCATGTTTTTAGGTCTGAAGGCCGGTTATCAAGCCTAAAATATTTTTATGCTGTATAAAGATACTATGTAAAGCATTATATGTAGCCGAAAAACTATTTACTCTAAAAAAGTTAGCTTAAAGGTTCCTCATGTTAGTATAAGTAGCCCAAAGCAGATTTATGTTAATGCAGATAAACCTCTTTAAAGCAATTTTGGCCAGACCAAGAAGTAGAATTCAAGGAAAAACATGTTCGAATAGGTCTGCTCAGTTCAAAATAATTTGCATTTTTACATTTCCTTCACATCATAATGTGTTTTCGAAAACACTTCCACATTTTACTTATTTTGAAGATTAAAGAGTGTATGGTTCTTGCCTTTAGGCCAGATTTTTAATTTCAAATCACTGTGGGATAGTTAATTTTTGAATTCAACTCAAATTAATTTTTTTGTTTGTAAAATCTTAACTTTGTGTCAGTTATAAATCTTCATTATGTAAATTTTGCTAAATTCAAAACTCTACACCACGGAGTTAATGATGCACTTGTTTGTGTTCGAATGATGTTTCGGCCGCTTTTGGAGAATATTAAAGTATTTGCAAAACGTGTGATGTAGAAGAGTTCAGTTTGTTTGATTGAGTACTTGTTAAAAACAATATTTTTAGTCACATTTCTGTGCTGGTCAAGTTTAAGAATTGAATTTTTTGTTGAAGGCTTTGGTTGGAAGTTTATTTTTTAGGTTTTCAATTTCTTCCTACACTTTCAGTGTCTGTTTCAAACATATTTATTGAACTTTCAAGACCAATGAGAGCATTAAATCTTCTTTTAAACAATAAGCCATTAACTATATTTATAAAAATTAGTTTTTTTTGTCAACGTATTTGAAAAATGCTTGTAGATTTATGGGAAAACACTGTCAAACTTTATAAATATTTTAATTTTCGAAAAACAAATTGGATTTTTTATATTTAGAAATGTAGATTTTGACATTTTTACACTTTTTTTAAATAAAAAAAATTTTTTTGGGTAACATTATTATAGAATAGCGTAGGGTAAGGAGAGTAGGACAGAGTAACGTATGGTAGGGTAGAGCGTTTTTAATCCCTTTTTCTTTAAGTTTTTTTTGATTTGTCTAGGGTAATATAGGTATGGCATACTCTATCATATAAGTTGTTTTTTCTTACGAAAATAGGGTTAAGAAGCTCTTATCAGTAGGAAAAATAGCATCAAACGCCTTTTTTCATAGTGAAAATATTATAAAACAAATTTAATTTTATTCAAAACAATATTACTGTTATACACCTCTTGTTTATATTGAAAACAGTATTTTAATATTTTAGAAATGCTTTTCCTTTTAAAATTAATAGTGTTAAACTCTTATTTTTTATAAAAAACAATCTTGTTTGTATTCAAAAATAGCCTTTCTTTATCAATGATTTCAAGATGACAATACCTTAATAGAATCTGTAATACTATTCGAATACCAAGGTGTGCTCGCACAGACTGCCTGCATTAAAGCCGGGGCGGCGGGCGGATAAAAGCGGCCTTAATCAGAAGTCGGGATTGACGTAAAAGAAAACGGCCGCGAAGGCTTTCCGGAGGGGATTTGAGCCAACATAACACTCTTGGTAGCGTTTACATCTTTCGCTCTGGTGTTATCATCATTTTGTGGCTAGGATTTTTTAATATTCGGGGTGGTTTTTAGGCTGTGATTAGGTATTCCGTTTTTTAAAGATAAGCTGTGATTAGGAGTTTTTACATAAGTTATATATGATTAGAAATTTCAATCTCTAGGCCGTTGTTACAGATGACATATTGCATTGTTGGACAATCATTAGATATGCCAAAGGAAGGCTATGATTTGTGTCTAAATAAGACTATGATTAGGTATGCCAATCTCTTTTTTAGGCAATGATTTAATATTCAAATGATGCACTTTCCTATGTATACTTGATTTACTGCCTTTAGGGGACAGATTTATGCATAAAGTTGATTCATCTTGAATTGATTAGCAAGACTAAAGAGCAAAGACTCGTAGCTTTGTGTAAGTACAGTGGAACCTCTGTATAAGGAACTCCTGTATACCGAAGCCCCTCTATAACGAAAAACGTTTTATCCTTGTCTAACACTACACAGTGCATTTAAAACTTCTGTATAACGAAACCTTTTCATAACGAATAAATTTTAAACTCTGGGGAAAAGGTAGGGTAGGGTAAGGTAGAGTAGAGTAGGATGGGGTAGTGGACGTAACTTAGGGTAGGGTAGGGAGAAACGCCAAAAAATGAAGTTTAAAACTACACGTTTACTATAGTAAATCATCATTTTTTCTATTTTTTGGAAAGTAACTACGTACTAACTCGACAAAACAAAATTACATATTTTGTAAATTATATTTTTAACATTGTTATCACTACGCCTACTATACGTTAAGTTCATAGCATAAGTTCTAATTTAAAATTTGAAAATTACAATTTTGTTGACTAATAGGTGGTATGATACGTGACTATGTTCCGCTTTACAACGTATAAAAAGTTGAAAACAACATGACACATCTAGTAAGTGTAACATGAATAACGTGAATATTTTTGAAAATTTAATTGGGTTTTACAATAATGTCATGCTGGCTACTGTAGATTGGTTGAGTATACTTTCTTACTTTCTAGACTGGGAGGGAGGTTAATTTGAGGATTGAGGGGGCTGGGTACCAAATGAGGTTTGGAACTGGTAGGGGAGGACTGAGGGCTATGTACTATAAAGTTATTAGGTTGTTTAAATAATTCTGTGCCTTCTAACACCGAAAATTTCTTTGCTTGATCGTACACTAACTCCTCTATAAAACCATATTTATAACGTTGACCTTTGCTTATATAACACCCTCTGCTCTACTAAAAAAGTGCAATTCAGTACCATTTTTAATATTATTTCATATGCTGAGTAAGTCAAAGTGTAAAATTTTTATGTCAGACATTTTTCAACAATTTACATGCTTAAAACACATTGACCTTTTGGTCTTCAATAGCACACAAGGAATTTAGTTCGAATTTAATGAGTACTGCAATGTTCGAAGTTACTGAGCAGAGTATAATTTTTCTCGGAATTTGCTCGAAAATTCCTGGATACATTAAAGTTGTTTCATATGCTCTTAGCGCTTATGCTCTTAGTGTTATTGACATCCGTCTCTGTTTGGGTCTTGAATAGATGGAAAAACACGGTGAAAATGTTTTTGGCAACATTTACTTTGACCTTATTAGGATTTTGGAAAGACTTGTCGTTGGTTTATGTTATGTTTCACGATAAGAAAGGACAAGAGTTTTTTGAGTTCTTAATGTTAGACTAGGCTTTGTAAAGAAGACTTTAAATAGTATTTTAGGCACTTTCTATTACAGGTTTTAGATATTTTCGCTATCTTAAGCATAGCCTTTATTTTTATAAAACATTGCCTTTTGAACAAATAAAAAACAACAAGATGATTGTGTACGTACTTGGCACCACTTAAGATTACATATATTTAATATGATTAGACTTTCACAACTGGTCAATGATTTTTGACTGAGGGGCTTCGAAACTCATTTACACTTTTATGTAGGCTTCATTGTATTTACTATATAAATTTCAATATGTGAAGGATTTGCCGTATTTTACACTTTTTTAAACTACTCTTGTATAAAGAAGTTTCTGAGTTTTACCGTAGAACATTGACCGATACTGAGCTGATAAAATTGTTTGGTTTGGTGGAAGTTTTGGTGTTTTTGAACACGATTTGAAGGGTAATTGAGGACATAACTTTTCTGACACTTTATACTTTACTTTTTTTAATTTTTTTCTGGAAAATATTAATTTTATATTAACCTTTATATTGTCGTAGAGAGCGAAAGTAATGTAGAAAGTCCAGTCTTTTAGTTCTAATATTTAGGTATAAGTACACGGGACTTCTATTTTATGTAAAACCATAAATCTTACTCATCGTATATTCATGTTATAAGTTTTTTGAGAAAATACGGTTGGCAAATTACGTTTTAGTTACTTTTTTTAGTACTTTTTGTATGAATAGAGCTTACATTTTCCATTTTGTTGTGGTTTCTAACTTATTGGATTAGATTCTTTTTCACTTTGATCAAGTTTTTTATAGATTTTTAAGCTTTAAAATGTTTTTTTAAAAGGTTTGCATATTTAATCTACTATAATATTAAAAAGGAAAAGCACGTAGGCATTTTGAAGCTAAACACGTAGGCATTTCTTTTACTTTGCATTATAAGTCTCTACTCTAACTTCTATAACCACTACTATAACACAAAAACTTAATTTAAAATAACATAATTTATTATGTACGAGGCAGTAACGTATATTATGTAGACTCTTTAACAGAACACTACTCTTTGACCTGAAACTTATTCAATACTCGTAATTGCATTAACTTTTTCTTCACATTTCTCTCCAATTTCCGACCCATAATGAACGTTTCGAAGCCGACGTTCATTCCGGATTCAAAGTCGGCTTCATATGAGATTCGGTATCGTTAACTGAATTTGTGATTCTGATGCGTTTAAGTGACTTTAGGTGCGTTTATTTGAATTCTGATGCGTTCTACTTGATTCAGATGCCTTAAACTAGCTTTACTGTGCTTTTAGAGGGTATTTACTTCGATGTAATGTTGTGTCCGTCGAATTTTAATCCGCTTATCCGTCCACTAATTACCGTAAAGCTTGATGGACGTTCGGATTTGAATTGACTTTGGCGTTTCCTCGGACTGGACTGGTTTTTTGCTGTTTTTCTTGGCCCGGATTTATTGTTATTGTTTTCTTCTTGGTCTGGACTAAATATTTTTTATTTTCTTGTCTTGGACTTGTATCTTCTTGGCTTGGATTTGCATCTTTCTGACTTGAATTTTTGCCTTTTTGGCTTGGATTTGTATATTTATTCTTGGTCTGGATTGGCTCTCTTTTTGATATTTTTTCATTAGTCTGGCTGTAATTTTTCTTTTTTCTGCTAGGCTTTGTTTTTATTGTACATAGCACTCATAAAAGCCTATATTTATACTTTTTTACATTGAGACCTCTGCAGATAGTAATATAAGTATTACTGTTAGCCTCAAGTTACTATAATTATCTTTTTTTATGTAAATCTTACTTTTTCATTATCTTGACTTCTACTATAATATAAAAGCAGCCCTTTGGCACAATTTAAATCAATTTTTTAAGATTTGCAAAAAGTTTTTGAATTTTTAAAGAATTTTGTATATTAGCTCTATTTTTCTTGTATCATTGACTTAAAACCGGTATATTATCATCTCTTACTTGGTAACTTAGACTGGTAACTAATTTTACTGCATTATTCTTAAATATTTTTTGCTTGAAATTGTTTTATATTATATTACTCTAGCTTTTATTTATTGTAATTTCTTTCTTCTGGTTATTTTTGATCATTTTAATCGCTTTTGTGGCTTCTTTTGATTTTTTTATTGTTCTTTTTTGTTTACTTTTTCTATATTTTATTAGTTTTTTTTTATTTTTATACCTTTGGTTTATCGCTCTAATCATACTTTAACCATCAAATCTTTCTTTTGTCATCTTAACCATTCTATTCTTTACCTATTCGTCATCCATTTCTATTATATTCATCATCTTTTTTATTATATTCATCATCATCTCCTTTACATTCCTCATTCCTACTCACCATAATGACTGACTTAAAATCCTCGAAAAGCCGGCTCAGTCGTTGTCGCTCAGTTCGGCCGAATCGCGCCGTCAAAGGTTCCTTCCGCAAAATCTCCAACATTACGGGCCCAACGCGAACTCGCTCCGTGGACGAGGGCCTGGCCACGAACCTGGCCCAAGAGCCTATCAAGGTGACGGTCATCGATTTGGACGATGAAATGCCACCAGTGTTCGCCAGAGATTATGATAAGGACGAGGATGAGAAGGAGAACCCTTTCAAAGGCATGGACTTGGCCATGTTGTTGCAGCTGAGCGATGAGGAACTTATTGAAGTGCGGGGGTGTTTTTTGTTTTTTTGGGGGGGGGGGTAGTTTTTTATGTCTTCGTGTAAGTTGGATGCGTAACGTGGGCAAATCACGTACAAATTGGGCGGGGTAAAATTTTTTTTTTAATTTGGGGTTGGATTAACTTTCTTTTTTACTTTTTGAAAAGATACAATTTTTAAAAAAATCTTTTGAATTACCAGTAATCCTAAACAGAAATAGAGCAAAATTACTCGCTTTAGCCGGCTGTTTACTTTAAAGTGCCTGAGGGGTTGTTTGTACTTCCGGGAACGGCATTAAATGTTTAATTTTGAAATGTGGGGACAATGCATTGTCCTCAAGTAAAATGACAAAGTAATGTGTGTGGTATGTGTGGGATTAAAAACTGAAATAAAAATTGTTTGAAACAGTGAAATTAGTTTTTGAAGGAAAAATGGCATTACTATATATGGCTTTTTAGGTAAAGTTTTTAGAGATGATGTTTTGTATTGTAATTTCCATTTAAAAATTTTGATTTTACAAAACTTCAATGTAAAAAAGTATATTTTAAAATGGTAGATTTTTGAATTTTGCCCAATTTTTAGAAAATAATCAAAGTAATGGCAGTGTGCATTACAGAAAACATGTTTTTTACTCTATAAATCTTTACAGAGTAGAGTAAATTTTTAAATTTTAGTATATTTACGCAAAACATCTTGAGAAAACATAGTAGATTTACAGTATGCACATGTACTACATAAGCAGCTTTAAATTTGGTTTTAATACTAGATATTAACGTATCAAAAAGGTTTTGTTGTCAGTTTGCATTACTTTTTAAGTGAAAAAGCGATAAGATTTTATTTAGTAGGATAGGATGGGGAAAGTTACGGTAGAGTAGGATAAGGTAGAGTAGGAAAATGGTAGGGAGAACTAGTGTAAGCCAGTGTAGCGCAGGGCAGCTATTGTATGTCAGCGTAGGGCAAGGCAATTTAGAAATTTCATTTTTGCTTACGATTTGTGAGTTAAAATTTTCAAAAATTGAATTTTGTCGGATAATGTTACAATGAGTTGTCACTCATGGTAACACTTGATTGTTTACAAAACAAGTTTTCCACGAAACGAAAACACAATATAAAGTTGGGGATAGTGGATTAAATTCTCGAATTGGGAGTAGTTAAAATTAAAAAAAAGGTGTTAAAGTTGGAAAGGGTCGTTTTTGAAATTTCAGAGTTTTTGGGTGATAAAGTTGTGTAAATGTGAATATTGAGGGATCTGGCCTTGGTTTTAGAGCCGGACTGGTTTGCTAGGTATTTTTAGTCATTTTGAACTGGAGAGGGGAAGGAGGTAAAAAATTTTGAAGTTTTTTAGTTAAGAGGGGTTAACCAAATCCAACATTTTTTTAAAAAAATTTTTTTTATCTTTTTTTAAATTTTTTTACAAAAACTCCTGCCTAGTGGTACACTTTACACAACTTTACAACTCAAAAACGCTTAAAATTTATTCATGGGAGGGCTTAATTCCTCCCAAAAAAAGCAAAAAATAAAAAATTCTCAGAAAAAACGGCCCAAAATGGGAGGTAATAATTAATTTCATCCGTTTCAGAAATTCTTCCCCGCCACGGACAAGAGCAAGCTACAGGACCTGAAGAGCACGGTGGATTTACTCACATCTATTACATTCTTCCGAATGAAAGTCCTCGAGCTGGCAAGTCCCCCGAGGGCGTCGACCGTCATGCAGGGTTGTGTCAAGAGTTGCATGGAAGTAAGTGATTGTTTACTGTTTTAAGGGTTGATGTTTATTGCCTAAGGGTTAATGGTTACTGTTTTTGAGAAACGGATTTAAATTTCGAAATTTTAAATTTTTTAAAAATTTTTAAAAAATAAAAAAATTTTTTTTTTGAGAAATGGTTCATGAAAAAAACATTAAAAACGATTTTTGGGTTTAAAAACTTTATAGAAATGCACTTTTATGTCTTTTCCAGTCAATTTTTTGAATTTTGAAAAAATTTTAAATTTTAAAATTTTTTTGAATTTATGACTTTTTTTAGTGATAGCTAAATCTGTTTGATGATTTATGATAATTTATATCGTATTATGCTCAAAACTCCATCTTTTATTTAAAACACAATATTTTACTTTGTATTTCAGCCAACATATCATGCTTTGTATGAAAACTGTGCGACAGAAGCCGGGGACGATAACAGTGTCAAGTTCTGGTTCGACTTCCTGGATTACATCATGCGAGTGATAGAGGATGATAAGAACATCTACACTCCTGTGCTGAATCAATTCCCTCAGGAGTTGAATGTGGGCAACATATCAGCGGCTTGTTTGTGGAATCAGTACAAGAACGATCTGCAGGGAATGCTTAAAGGTACGATAATATAATATTTTTTTAATTGAAGAAAAGCATTTTTTGTGATAGAAAGGTTAAACTTTGATTTTTTATTTAATGGTATATTAACCTTGAGATTAAAAGGCTGTTTTTGCATTTGGATGCAGGCTGCAGATACAGGGCGCAACTTGTGTGCAGCCTGCAGCTTTCAATGTTTCTTTGATGATTAATCTAACACTTTTATAGTTATAACTCAAGGTATTAGATTGTTTAAATAATTATGTGCTTTTTAAAGAAAGTTTTTGTGGTTAGGGGCACAGAATTATTTGAAAAACTTAAAAGTTTGTATTTTCATATCGTATTTTAGAGTTTTTAAAAATATTTTGTTATTCTAGAACACGCCGAGAACCCAGGCGCACGTCAGTCCAAGAACGGTGTTACAGAGTATATGAATCTTTACTTCAAAGTCAAAGGATTCTACTTCAAATACATTGCCGACCTACCTGAATACAAGAATTCTATTCCAGAGTTTCCAGCGTAGGTTTCTTGATATTACTCTAGACTTTTTTGTATTACACTTGGGGGTTTTTTTATGTTATTCTCTAGACTTAACTTTGTGTTTTACTCGAAAACGATACTTTTGGAAAAACCGTCGCTTTTATGCTTATTCACACCTCCAAAACAAGCTTTGTTATGTCTATAACACATCACCTTTCCTACTCATACCTATAAAATAACACTCTTCTTTTTCATACCTAAAAACCTCTCTTCATACCTATAAAACAATACGTTTCATACCTAAAACTCTCTTTTCATACCTAAAAACCTCTCTTCATACCTATAAAACAATACGTTTCATACCTAAAACTCTCTTTTCATACCTAAAGACCTGTTTGTTTTAGATGGTTTGGCGGTTTTGTGATGGAGTGGTTGGGAGAGAACGACGAGCATTCCATGGATATCTTGAGGAATGCCTACCTTCTGGATAAGGACAATAACTTCCCTCAGACCTCAGAACATACCAAGTTCAGTAACAGTGTAGTGGATGTGTTTGCCAAGCTGAACCAGGCCCTAACATTGCTCAAACAAATGGACTGTCCCAATCCTGAGGTGGCTGTAGACATGATGAAACGGTAGGTTTTTTAATGTAAAATACGAGAACTTTTTGGTACAAAGATTACTGTAAGATAAAATACGTGGAATATTTGATATCAAGGTTATCGTAATGTAAAATACGAATAATTCTTCGGTAAAATGTTTATTGTAATTTAAACTACGAGAAATATCGGTACAACCCCTACTGTAATTTAAAATACGAGGTACCGATTGTTTGCTTCCGACTGTAATTTGTTGAGTTTGGGAATTGAAAAAGGCATGGTTAATGTAGTTGGTTTATGATCGATGGGTAGGATAAACTGTGGAATTTGTAAGTTAAAAGGCATCGGTAGGGTAGAGTGGGTAAGTTAAGTTAGTACAGGGGAAGGATGAAGTAGAGTAAAGTAGTGGTAGGATAGGGCAGGGCAGGGCAGGGCAGGGTAGGGTTGGGTAGGGTAGGGTAGGGTAGGGTAAAGTAGGGTAGGGTAGGGTAAGGTAGGCTAGACTAAAGTAATACAGTCTGCTCCAAAATCCATTACAAAAACGTATATTACCCAAACCCACCCAAAACCACAGTAAATTGTTTGTGTTTACAGCGTAAAATTAATAATTTACAATGTAAAACCTGTTAATACTTTATAAGAGCGGAGTGAAAACATTTTATTCCCATTATTAATTATAAATCAGCATTAAATATTATTTTTAATTATTGAAAAGTTGACAATAATCCACCTTGCATGTGTAATATCACCTGTAATTGCACGTATCTTCATGATATTGTTGTTTCAAAGCTATTTTAAGGTAAAACTAGAAGTAGTACATGATATTAAATGTAGATTATGAGTGAATTTTTGTTTGGAGAAGAACAATTTAATGTAAAATACGTTGAGGGATGTAGGAAACAGACATTCATTGGCCATCAAATTTTTGACAAGTTAAAAAAATTTATAATTTTAGATAACATTTTATAATGAAAAGCTTATGAATAATATTGGTGGTACAAAGCGTAAGCTCAAAGCATAAAGTAACGAAGCCAAATATACTTTATGTTATTTATTAAATCAATCATATCTTTTTTTCTAGATTCTCCACCACCTTGAACAAGGTCCTCCTAGCCTACGCCGACATGGTCCAAAAAGACTTTATCAAGTTCGTCGACTCGGAAAAACTAGCCTGTATCCTCCTGAACAATATCCAACAACTTCGAGTCCAATTGGAGAAGATCTACAAAGAGATGGGAGGTGATGATCTTGATGAAGAGTCCAAACGTGTCCTCAACAATCTTCAGAAGAAGCTGAACAGTGTGCTGGACAAACTGTCATCTCAATTTGTCACAACTCTGGAGCCTCACATTCAAGAACAAACGGCCAAGCTAGGAGCTTTGTTATCTAAAATAAAGGGTACCCAAGTGGAGCCAAGCCAGCTGGGACCGGACGTGGACATGGTACTAGTACCGTTGATGGACTTGTTGGAAGGATCGTTGCAGCGATACGCTCAACAATGTGAAAAGACCGTGCTGAAGTACATCTTGAAGGAGTTGTGGAAGCTGACCATCATGAACATGGAGAAAATGGTGGTATTGCCGACTATGAGCGATAAGGCGGTACGTTTTTGGAGTTTTTAGCTTAAAATAGACAAAAAAATAGCAGACTTGAGTTTGTTTTAGTATAGTATTCCATATGGTACTGTTTTAAAAATGTACTGCTATGTTAAAAGTCTTGTCGTTTTTACCCATACAAAGCAATGTAATAAGACGACAAGACTTTTTCTGACACAAAACGGGTTGTTATCATTTCCATGACTATAATTATATCTTACTGTAACAAAATTCAACCACACTTACCTAAAACCTTACTTTTAGTTGATAAAACAACTCCCCAATGCCAAGATCGGCGATGTCACCAAGATCATGTCACATGTAAAGGACGTAAAAGGCATGAGCTCAGTAAAAGAAGTCATGGATATAGCCAGAGACACAGAGCGATCATTAACACCAAAACAGTGTACAGTACTTGATGCTGCCTTGGATGCTATTAAGGAATGTTTCCATGCTGGAGGGCAAGGATTAAAGAAGACATTCTTCGAAAAATCACCAGAACTACAGTCCTTGAAATATGCTTTGTCATTATACACACAGACAACTGAACAACTGATCAAGACGTTCATCAGTACACAGAGGCAACAAGGTAGGGTTTGGAGGACTAATGATTATTATTAAAAGAGAGATAGAGACAGGTTTTAGGGTAGGGATAGAGGTAGAAGTAGAAGTAGTTCTATGATAGGGTAGGGTAGGGCAGGGTAATGTAGGGTAGGATATGGCAGGGTAGGGTAAGGGTTGGGAATGATACGGTAAGGGCAGTGCAAAAAAAATTTCATTAAGAAGTAGTATATAATTAAAAATGTCTATCCTACTATACAAAATCGTATTTCAGACCAACCATCCCAAGACCAACCGGTCGGAGAAATCAGCGTCCAAGTCGATTTGTTCTGTAACCCAACTACCGGAGAACAAAAAGTCACTGTCAAAAGTAGGTTCTTCATTTCAAGCTTGTTTTCATATCCAGTTGAATTTATTTTAAGCATCAAATTTTAAAAAATTAAAATTTTGAATTTTTTTATAGAATTTAACAAAATTTTAATTTTTTGTCTAATTTTCAAAAGAAGTGAACGAAATAAGTAAAAATTTTATATTATCTATCTAAACAAGACTTGTATTAATGTTAAAACTTTAGTTATTGCGGCAAACGACCTCCGATGGCAGACCACAGGTGTCTTCAAGCCATTCGTCGAAGTTCATCTTGTTGGTCCTTATCTCAACGACAAAAAACGAAAATTCGCTACGAAAACCAAGAATGGCAAATGGGATCCCAAATTCAACGAAACTTTCGTTTTGTAAGTAAAATACGACTTGGTTTTCAAGGGCTAAATGTTGTACAAAGGGGTGATTTACAAAAGGGTGTTGTACAAAGGAGCGATATTTTAAAGTGTATAACATACTATATAGCACGAATACTATATTTTAGCCTATAATTTGAAAAAAAAATGTTTGATAAGCATGTTCTTTATGATAAAAAAACAGTTATTGGTTATATTATCCATGATGACAGTCCAAACATAATTTTAAAATTTCAGCTTGCTAGGCAATGAAGGAGAACCAGAAAACTACGAATTAATGTTCCAAGTCAAGGATTACTACGTGGTCAGAGAGGACAGAATCGTTGGAGTTGGTGTGCTACAGCTCAGCCAAGTTGTTGCTGAAGGTAATTTTTAAAAAATAAAGGGAACCGGCGTATTTTATCTTTCTTTGATCAAATTTTGTCTTTTTAGTGACAATAATAGGTAGAATAACAAAAATATTTAGCTTAATGTAATTTACTTTACTGTTCCTTGTTCTACCCCTATATCCTCCCTTACCGTACTCTCCTCTACTTCACCCTATTGTACCCTACCTTACCTTAATCTACCCTATAGTACTGAGCCTTACCCTACCCTACCCTGCTCTATCCTCCTTCTTACCTCTCCTATTTTGCCATTCGAAAAAATTCCAATCTGACTATATTAACCATGCGTTTTTAGGTTCCCTAGCCCAATGGGTACAACTCGGTCGTCAGTTATACATTGACGAAACCGGCCTCATCCTCCTCCGAATCCTCGGCCAACGCCAAAACGACGAAATCGCCAAAGAATTCTACAAACTGAAGACGGACAGTCGCTACGAAAGCGAATCCGTCATGACCAACTCGGCCTCGAGTCAACAGATTCGCCAATAGACCCTTTAATCTCACTCAAACCTCAGAATTTCAATTCCAAACCAATGGCTCTTAAAACGCGTTCGAAACCGGTAACTCGAGTGGCATAATACAGATATACATCCCAACAGATATAGTAGACGACCTATGTTAATATGGCTTCTTATTTTGATATTGCGGAACAAGGTGGCTATGATAAGATCAGACATACAGATATATCATCAGATATAGAAGGCCACAAAAACATAAAATTATTGAGATATAACGTCGTATTTTGAACAATATACAACGTTATACCTCGAACTGTGACATGTCGCTCGGGATATTATTGTATCTCTTTCTTTCCAAGCTTTTATCATTGCGCTTTTATTAATTATTATGTACAATGTGCCTGAATTCTAATAAATTTAAATATTTTTATAATGGGGCTGGTTTATAATCAAAATATTATGTTTTAAACTTGAAAGAAGCTCTAATATGATATTATCCATGACAACTCGCCTGAAGTCAGTTTAATTAGATTTTATTACAAAAAAATAAAGTTAAAATGTAATGTGAAGAATGAAAACTTGTATACCAGTAAATAAACAGTTTTAAAACCGAGATAACACTTATATTACAAAATATACAATAAATTATGGCCTTTTGATCTGCGCAGCAAGCCATTCCTGTAGAACAGTTTCAAGTCCAGCCTCTACAGCAAGCTCATGCATTGGAGATGACATGTTTTCGTCTTCAGTGACTTCAGAATTGGCTCCAGAATGAGTTGCTTTAGAAGTGCCTCCTCCAGGCCTATCTCCAGAATTGGCTGCTGTAAGTTTAGCTGCAGAAGTGGCTCCAGCAGCAGCTGCTCCAGCATTTACCCGCTTAGACGTAGCTCCAGACGGCCGTCCTGATCGTGGCTTGTCTTTGAGGTTAGTGTCACCCGACGCGAACTTCAAGAACCACCTTTGTGTCGTTCGTACTGCCACAGCATCTTTACCTTCAGTTTCACAGATTTGTCTTGTAGTCTCAACGGCATTAACATTCTTTTTCCAATAATGGAGTAACAGGACCCGTGTTTCGTACTTAACCATCCTCTTCGGACCTATAACAATATGATTTACACCTATGATAATATAAGAGTTAAGAAAAAATAAAGATAACGCTTTTTTAAAAAATAATTTTAAAAACTAGGATATTAACTTACTTTTAGACGTCGATCGTAGATCTTTCCCAGTGCTTTCCAACACGTTATCAGCCATTACAACCCGTAGCACAGCTACACCGTGAACAAAGCTACGGACGTTGAAAAACGACAAGACTTTTATGCCAGTCGATACTTTCTAAAAGTGCGGGAAAAAGACTTGTCGCCAACGTATATTAGTTTGGACGTTCAAAAGCGACAAAACTTTTATGTCTCTTTCCAAATGAAAAGAGCGCAAAAAGTGAAGAGACGCCCGAGAAATCTCTTTTTTCCCCATCGCAGCTCGCAGTTTGGCGGGCGCAGTTTGTTAAAGCTTTTTCGCCGAAAAAATTGTAAAAAAATTAACGTATATTTTACCAGCTCTCGTATGTTGTATATTTTTAATAGTGCATGGTAAATAAGGAATAATAAAATGGCTACAGAAGAGGTTGTCAAGTCTTTTACTAACGAGGTAAATTATTTTGTGAAACATTGGTATCTATGAGGTTAAAATAAGCTTTTACTAGATTTATTTGATCAAAAATAACATTCTTTACTTTCTATTTTTTAAAATAATTGTCTGGCTAGTATTTTATAGGTAGTTTAAATAGTTTTACGAAAGATTCTTTTAGTTATCATCGATTAAAAATGTCAAGTCGGCTCTCAGCAAGGAGAAGATCATCTCGATCACAAAAGCAGCGATGGGAGCTCTCAGATACTATAAACATGTCATATATGCAGTGGAAAAGTTTCTTACAAAGGTTGGTTATGTTTTATTATTATTTATTTGGTTTTTAGGTATGAATTTGGATTGAAAATGGCATATCTGCTAAAGGTATACCTATCGCCTATAACATTTTTAAAAAATAACCTTGAAATTAAGGTTTTGAGTTTAATTTCTAAAGGTTGAGTTAAAATTTAATATTGAAAATTTAGTGTAACGTCAAGTTGAAAATCCCTGGGATATACATTATTGATTCGATCGTGAGGCAAGGCCAAAAGCAGTTTAAACATAAAGATGTATTTGGCCCTCGATTTGCTGTTAACCTATTGCAAACTGTTGAAGGAGTTATATCGTCTTGTCCAGTGGAAGATAGAGTAAATTAATATACTTACTTTAAATTAATTGTTTCTATATAGGAAAATATTATGTAAAGTACGGTATTTTTTAATTTGTTGTCAGTTTTAAGTAAAAGTTTTGAAGATTTAACTATAATGATGCACTTTCAGTTAAAAGTTGTAAGAGTGATCAATTTATGGAGAGATCATGATGTTTTTAAACCAGAAATTACGAATTCTTTGATTGAAATGTTTCGGCGACACAATTTGGGTAAGATAATATATTTTTATGCATATTTTAGAAAAAATGTATCTGTGTTATAAGTAATATTAATGTTTTTGATTTAGAAACAGACGTAGCTCAAGTCGAATATAGAGTGAAAGGTTCTAAAGCGGATATGTCGATTTACAAGAACTTGGGAGCTCCACAGAAGAAGCGTGGTACTCCTAGGACGCCACCGCCGCCAGTGGATGAGGTAAGTTGTATTAAGTTTTTTTTTAATTTTTAGAATTTTTTTATTTACTATAATATAAATATCAAACTTAATTTTCTATTTTTGGATTGAAACATGATATTTTTTTAAAAACTGTGGTAGTAAAGTAATAGCTGAGGTGTTATGATCGAATTTAAAGCAAATTTACCTTTTTAGATACTAAATGGAAACGCAGATGCTCAGACCTTGTCAGAAGTTCAGTTTAATGAGTTGTTTAGTAGAATGTACCCAACTTTGGCAGATGGGTTAAACAAGGATAAAGAATCATTAAAGAAGAGCTTTAAGATCTTCCAGAGTAAATTGAAAGATTCTGTGGAGCGAGAAAAGGCTACTTCTGGTGGAAATATATCTGTAAGTTTTTAAAACTTATTGTTTTTGTGTTTTAGAGATTGTTTCTTCTAAGGTTTTTGAGAAAGCTAATGTTTTAATTGATAATTTTGATGAAACTAAAGGTTTATTTTATAACTTTAAAGTATAAGATTAGTTTTTGAGGATTTCAGAAGCTCTTAACTAACACATTTGACTATTCTGATGAAGAAGATGAAACAACGGAAAGATCTAAACCTGAATCGATATCAAGAGAAAGAGTCGAAGCGTAAGTACTTAAATACTTTGTTCAGGACTTTGAGTGACCTTTTTAAGGCAATATATAACCTTTCTATAAAAATAACAAATTTTTTGATATTGATTTTGTATACCTACATGAAAGTAGTTTAGTGTTGCATTAAGCTTACATAAGAATAGTCTGATTTTACATTTTCAGCCTGGCCAGAAACATATGCGAGCAGTCAGAGTTTGTGAGCGAAGTACAGTCGACATTAAGTAGAGATTCGAGGCGATCGTACAGTAGAGATGACAGGAATTCAGAAAGGGATCGAGGATATGACCGAAATGTTATTGTTAATATGGGATCAGTTGATAAGGTAATATTTTTAGAGATATTTTTAATTTTTAGGTAACTCAATTGAGGATTTTTGTTTGGAATTAGCTTCTTAAGTTTTAAAATATTTTTTGAGGGCTAAAATAAGGTTGGAAAGATTTTATAGCGTTTAAAAGGTTAAGATGGTTAGTATACTTTAATTATTTCTCTTTATGAATTTTGTAAGGCAGTTTTTCATCTAGAGCTATACATAATAGGTATAAGTAATAGCCAAGAAATTATAAAAGAGCTGTTGTAAAGCTAAAAATGTCATTTTAGTCTCGAGATTCACGCCGAAAAAGATCAAGATCACCGTCGAGAAGTGAAAGAGACCCCAGGAAGAAGAAGCATCGTGAGAAGACTCCAGACAAGAAGGGAAAACGAAGATCCAGATCGAGAACTCCAGAATCCTCAGCTGATAAGGACAGAGAAAAGGAAAGGAAAAGGAACGGTCTTCCAACCCATCCGAAGAGGGATTGCCTTGTTTGTAAGCTTTATTGTCTTAGGTTTTGTTAATGAAAAAGTTGAGAAAAGGTTTAAAATTAGTGTATTTAGGTAATATTTAGTTTTTTTTTATCAGTTTTTGAAATTTTAAAGTTTTTTTTAAAATTATTGAAGGTCAGCATCGATTAAATGTCAGCTTTATGGCTATTTTTAAAATATTTGTTATGTTTTACTTACTCTTTTATTTCAGTAGCAACAAGAACCTTATGGTTTGGCCGTCTTCCAACCAACTGTACTGACCACAACATCAAAGACGGCCTGAAAGTCTCCGGCTACGAACCAGAGAAGGTGAATATCATTTCATCTCGAGCTTGTGCCTATGTTACCATGCCTTCAAGACGAGCGGCTTTCAAAATAATGGATAAGTACAAGAGAGACATTAAGATATCTGACCGATCAGTGAAAGTAGACTGGGCTACAGGAGTGGGATTGCAAAAGAACGACCGGTTGATGGATTACTGGGACGCTGACAAGGGTTACGCGCAGATTCCTTACTACAGATTGTCGAATGACATTGGACAGCTGATTCAGGGCAATTTTATTGATGTGGACACGTTGCCAGGGAATTTGAAGGGTAAGTTGGGGTAGATATTGGGTAGTTTTTGAGGTTTTTTATGTTGTAAGAAGAGAACAGCTAAGTATAAGATAAATGAATGCTTAGAAGACTACTGGTAGTATTACGACTAGTTATTTTGATGTATTTTTGATAATATTGTCAATATGACCTTAATTTAATATTTCAGGCAAGTACCACTCGACAGGACCAGTCGAATCAGACCCAATTCAACCACCAGCCGACCCAGATCAACAAATGATTGTCAACATTCCAACTCCTCAATCCTCCCAATCTCAGCCCGTTCCTCCGCCATTCCCACCCCTGCCCACCAACCCACCCCCGAATGGCGCTCTACCACAACTTCCACAACAACTACAAGGAGCCTTTCCTAACCTCGGACTGGCTCCACATCTTTTACAACCGAATATATTGGCCATGTTGGCTCAGCAACAAAATTTGGATCAGCTGGTAAGGAATATGAGGGTGATATTTCAATATTATTACGCGTCGTTTAGGGGGGTACCCCCCCCTCCAGAGCCGATCCGAAAAAAAATTCCACAGGTAGGTACCTGTACGCGGAAAAACGAAAAAAAAATTTTTTGAAAAATTGGTCCACAGGTAGCTGAAAAAAATTTTTTCGACCTCTCCTTCCCCCAGAGAAACACCGTAGCGACGTCCCTGTGGAAGGTGTATATTGATTTATGTTTTTGAAGGTGTATATAATGTTCATGCGATTAGAAATAGCATTTTAAATGTAGGGTTGGATGTATTAGGTTTTTTTGCTATAACATGCAAATATTGTTTTAGATGAGTCAATTCCAAACGAATAATTTGGTACCTCAACCGACTGGAGCACCTCCGCCAATACCGCCAGTACAGGGTACGTTACAATGGTATTCTTTATTATTTGAAAAGATATTTCAAAGCTATGTAAGAATTTTGCTTATAAAAAGGTTAAGTTTTAAATAAAAATTTGAAAAATTGCAGCAGAACAGCCAGAAACCCGCGGCCCGCGCCCACCATTTCCACGAGGAGGAGGACCACCAAGATTCCCTAATCATTTCAACTCTCCACGAGCTGAAGGTCAGAACTTCTTCCGCGGAGGTCCACCTGACTTTAGAGGACGTGGCCGGGGCCAATTCAGAGGAGGACGACCACCCTTCAGAGGAGGACCACCTCGATTTGACGGTCCTCGACCAAGGTTCGACGGCCAACCCGACTTCTCTGGCAATGCCAATATGATGCCTCTAGGACAAGGTCCAATGAACATACCACCACCAGATATAAGTGCTCTAATAGCAGCAGGCCTTCAGCTACCACCTCATCTTCAAGGTCTGGCCTTGGGTCTTCCACCCAATGTCAGCCTTCCTCCACCAACTCAAATGCCTTCGGAGGAAGCAATGAATGTTCAGGACGACGAAATGGACGTAGATGATCATAATGAAGACGTGAGGAACGATGGGCAAGATAAGGATAGCTCGTTTAAACTAACTCAACAACAAATTGCGAACCTAGTGGGAGTACCACCGCCAAGCAGCAAGCCTACTCTGGGACCACTACTGGCACCAAATCCAGGAAATGTACAAGACTTTGCTCGAGCCGCCAGGATCCAGGATAACAGCTTTTCAAAACGAATGGGTAAAAGTAGATTCAACAATCCTGATGAACGGTTTGATCTTAATGATACGGCACAATCTCAACTTAATCAAGTGTTATCACTGGAACAGACTCAGTACATTCCGCCTTCGAAGGAACAGACGCTCCAATCTCAGGAATCATCTCAAGGCTCTCAAGATGGGAATGGACATTTCAATGTGTTTAAAGGTGATAATGCTATTGGATCTGGCAGTAGCAGTGCTATTAGACCAGGAACTGACATTGGTTCAGGAAATAGCGGTGCGATTAGTTCGCAAGGTGATAACAGAGCCCATTCTGGGCCTAATGACGCCAAATCACCAGTAAATGACGGTCAAGAACCCTGGTCACCTCACAAGGAGTCAGATCTTCAACATCAAGAAGCCACGACCCCAGTACGAGAGCCGGAATCCGAATTCACGGAAACCTCACAACCTCAAGATACAACGCTAACTTCGGAAGCCCACTTCTCACCTCAACGAGAATCACAGACATCATTCAAATCAACGACGTCAGGCAATGAGTATCCAACTACAACATCACCTCAAAACATGGATACTTCTATTTCGCCACCATATGACCGAACCTCAGCTACACACGATGCCGAAAGTGACGATTCATTTAAACAACGGCTGGGATTGGCCCACAACGATAGCTACGAAGAGAACCCCTTCCAAAATGGCAGCGACGAAGATAATCAACCCAAATCGCCGGAGGAAAAGTTCACGAATGGTCATAGCCCCATGAAGAATGTCGAGAATCCGGCTACGGAGGAATGATTCTGGAGTTGCTGCGGAGTGAGAAGGATTCTTGAGCTGTTACGAAGTGAGGAAAGTAATTTTGAAGGTTTGGAGTCAGAAGAAGAATTCTGAAGGCTCTACGAAGTCAGAAGAAAGTTGAAGTCACGGTTTATATGTTATAGGATCAGGAGAAGGACTCAGAAGGTTTTTTTATGTTTTTTATCAACATTTGATGAAGAAATGATCTAAAGTAAGAAGAGCTACATTTTTGTTATTGTATTACTCTGTTTTTACTTTGTTTACATTTTGAAATATATTAACATATTGTGGTAGGTATATAGTTAGTTCACTAACTAATATTTTTGACATAAAACGATTTTTAGGCTTAAATTTTAAAACTTTTTGTGATTTAAAAGTTTAAATCTAATTTTAAATTTATTTGCTTTATTTTAGCACTAGATATAAAGTATAAGATAGCCTACTACAATATTTTGATAAAATTTTTTGAAATGATTTTAACTGATCTACAACTTTTTAATCTACGAAGCTACTTTTGGTTGTATTCGAATATTTTTACTGTTACTTTTAAAGTCAAACATCATATTTTCTTACTTTTTCTTAATAGTTGTTGTTGTAATAAACTTTTGGTAATAATAAATAGTTTAAATATGAAAAAGCGGATTTTTAGGTACAAAATCGTTATCGTAGTTCACTACTGATGCTAGTATCGCTAGTGGTAAACATAATGTACAGGTTTATAAACTGGCTACTAGTACTATTAGGTTGTTCAAATAATTCTGAGCCTCTTACTGAGAAAATTTGCTTGAGAAGGGGCTCAAAATTAATTGAACAACATAATAGTAAGATAACAACCATATTATAATATATAACACTAGAATATTGTTGTTGATAACACAATACACGGTTACTGATCAGAATAAAGTTTATCTCTACGAAGTCGGGTATTCATCTTCAATGATTTGGTCGAAAAAGATGGCAGGCTGTATCCACGAGCAAATTCCAGCACTTAACGAGAACAGTACGGCCGAACAGACAGCAGCGGTCAACATAAGCAGTATCAGCCTCCACCAACACTCAAGGTTGTTGTGATTCTGAAAAGGTTGGTTTTAAGTTTGAGAGTGTTCTTGTAGGTAAGGTTTTGATTAAGAATCGTTAAAAACGGTGATTTGGGTAATATTTTAATTAAAAATGGCTAAAATAAGGTTTGAACTGATTTAAAATCCATAAATTAGGTTCGAAATCAAACTTTTAGAGTTGTTTTTAATCAAAAATGGCATATCTTTATTAGGCAATGCACTTTTTTGTAAAAAATAATTGAAAAACAATCTTAAAATATAATTTTGAGCTCAAAACTGATAAGAACTTACAAAATGAAACGATTCACGCTTTTCAGGATAACAATGGGCCTTTGGGTCCACATCAGTTTTCTTCGCTGTAATTAGGAGAAGGTTTGAAAGTAAGAGTAGGATTACAAAAGTCGACCGTTTCATAGTTTATACTAGTAGAAAATGAATTTTCTATTTTTTTTTTGAAATTTTAAAACTTGGAAAAAATTTTCAAGAATTAAAATTTTAATATTTTTTAAAATTTTTAATACATTGAATAGGGCTAGGTGTTCTCTTTTTATTTTTATTGTAAAATACGCGGTGGACAACTCTAGTACCCTACCAATCCCGCCTCTTTCGGACTAAAATTGGCTACACTTTGAATATTACTCGGCTCGAATATTGATAAAAAATCATAATTTTTCACAAAATTTTAAAGTTTGAATTAATTAGCCTAAGGAAATTTGATAAAATTTTTTTAAAATTGCCTTAAAAGTTCAGGCCCCGAAGGTTCCCGCCCCCAAAAGTTCCCTGCCCCCAAAAGTTCTTTGCCCCGAAAGTTCGGGCCCTTAACTTTCTCGCCCCGAAAATTCCCCGCCCCAAAAAGTCGGCCCCGAAAGTTCCAGCCCCAATAAGTCCTGACTCCCTTTGAGTGTTAATACTATTAGGTTGTTCAAATAATTCTGTGTCCCGAATTATTTAAACAACCTAATATATATTGATAAAACTGCCAAATGTTGAGTGTTATGAGTTTATTTACCAAGTAATATAGGAAAAACGATTTTTAACTTATGAAGCGAATTTTAAAACTTTTTGTGAGTCTAATCAAGGACCAATACAATTTGGCACGCTTTTACAAGTAAAGGTAGTACAATATTAGAGTAAATGTTTTTAAAATCGAAATATTATCAAATACAATGTAAAGTAAAAAAACTTCTTTAAAATATAAAAATTAGGTAATAAAAAGATTGAACATAGACGAATAAGATAAAAATGCAAAAAAAATTAAATTTACAGTATATTGATTACTGTAGATTCTGGTAGGTTTTAAAAAGTTAAAATGTATAAAAGTATAAAATTAAATTATACAGAATAGTACTGTACGTAAATTTAAAGACTCTACATTTCGAAGATTTCTAGACTTTATGGAACCGGCGGTACTGTTTTTGGTACTGAAAAGGTATTACGCGTAATTACGTACTATAATGTATTAGGTTTCTTGACCAACAGTACCATATGTTATCAAGTACTAGTTTTTCATGTTAAGCAGGAACTTGAGCTATACAAATATACCAAATTGGAAATTAATGGTACCAAACGACTTAACTTATGGTGATACCAAAAATGTTAAAATATAAAAATTTTTTTGGTTGTGTTACTATGGTACCAGCTTCTATAAAATTTGTATTAAAACGACACTTGCGCCAAAAAATTGTACCACTTTTACAAAAATATGGTACTAGGTTAAACTTCTGGTCCTGATGAACCTACATTGACCACAATATAACTGTACCCAACTGTAACACCGGTTGCCCAACTATAAACTGATAATCGACTAATAACCAGTCTACTTGTCAACTTTAGTTGTCCCAATCCTTGTTCTTATTAGCAAACAGTTCAGTCAAAGCGTCCCCTTGATGGCTGGCTTCAGTATTCGAAGCCGGAAACAGAACTCCTTGATATGTGGTCCCATTGATGTCCATGGAGACGATCATCGACTTGTCCCCATTGGGCATGGTACTACTGGAGACCTTGAGGGAGGTGGAGTGGGAGTTCTTCAGGATTTGGTCGATCGAGTTCTTGGGGCAGGGTGATTCGCTTTTTTGACGGAGAGGGGTGGTTGGCTTCATTTTCTTGGCTGAAAAGAGGTTTTTAGGTATTGAAGGGTGGGTTTTTTGGGTTTTTAGGTACGGAGGGCTTAGTTTTTAATCTTTTAGGTAAAAAATGCCATTTTAAAAATAGTTTTAGTGTTTTAAAAGATTTTTTTCAATTTAAACGCCAAAATTATCAAAAATAAAAAAAAATTTAATGTTTCTAAAGCCAAACGTTCAAAATAGGTATCAAAATTAGAAACTATAACCTACAATATACCTTTACAAACATGAATAACCTACCCGCAGGCTCAGAATCCCCAGAACAAGTTGAATCTCGGCCTGAAAATCCATTGGCTGCTTGTTGTTTGCCTTGCATGGCTTCGGCTAGCCGTTGGAAAATGTCTATCTGGCGATTATTACCATCCATATTATAGGCATGATTCACAGCATTCATTATTTGGGCATTGTGGTTGTTGTGCTCTTCTAAAACTTTAAATATTGGCTTTGAAGTTCAAGTTTTAGCTGATCTTTGGGGATTTTTTTTCTATTTTTTTTTGAGTTTTTAATGCCATTTTTAAGCTTTTGGGGCTGTTGAGAATGGGAATTTAGTTATTTTCATAGGTTTTATAAATAGCTATGGTTTTCTTCATCGTATTTTACTTAACTGTATCAAAATTAAGTAGAAAATTAATTTTTTGATCTGGTTTTATTATTAAAATTTAAAAATTAAAATTTTTTTTTAATTTTCAAAATTTTTTTAGAAAAAAAAACACATTAAACTTAACGTATTTTACCTTGCTGTCCCATAAGTGAGTTGAAATGCTTTGAGAAAAGGCTTGACATGGCAGCGGCAGCAGCCGAATGAGGTACCAACGGGTAAGGGAAGCCAGGTGGGCCACCCGACCCTCTAAATCCACCCCCATTGCCATTACTAGACCCAGCATTGTTCCGCCGTCCTTCTCGTTTGTTACCCTCAATCGCTGCATGCAAATCAGCTGGACTACTGAGATGTTCTTGTTCACATTCAAAGTCGTACAAGTACTTTTGGTACTGTGTCCTCAGGGTGAAAGCGGCCGAAGTGATGGAACTTGGCAGGTTCAGGCCTTTAGTGATTTCACGCCACAACTTTTTGTTTATAATTTCGACTAGGCCACCGTGCTGGACGACCAGGCGGTAGAGTTCGTAGAGGTCGAGCACCTGTTTGGCCATAATTGGGATACGGGTGACGGGCTTGCCTTTGGCCTGCATGAACCTGAACCACTCGTCTAGCCATTCTTTGCGCTTTTTGTCGTCGGACAGTTCGTAGAGCTGAAATTTGAATATGAGATTTAAAAGTTTTCATTTTTTAAAATAAAATAGATTTTAATAATATACTCAAATTAGTTTACTCTGTCTTAAAATCTATTACTTTACTCTGCTCTAGCGTATCCTAGTTTACCCTGTCCTCGAGTATCCTACTTTAATCCACCCTACTATACACTAACTCACCCTCCTCCCCTCTACCCTACCATTCCTTTACCTAAATACATTATTTTTTGATGCCACTTTCTTTTGGACTTAATTTTGTTTATTATCATTCGCATCTTTGCTCGAGTACGGTCCCCTAAACGACTACAAAGCGCATTCCATTCAACGAAAAAAGTTTGGGCCGGCCCAAATTTAATCAAATATTCTAAAAGATATTTGGGCACCTAATTTGTCCGTTGCCCATGACAATATTATTCCCAGTCTTTAATGAGAGGATTACGGTAGATGGGCGAAGAGGCCTCGGATAATGGGAATTTAGATAATAGATTGTTCTTTAATTTAATATTCTTGCACTTTTATTCAATGACTACGGTATACAAAAAGTTAGGTAGGGTAGGGTAAAAAAATAGTTTTTTCAAAATATTCTGCTAATATTATCGCCATATTATAGTACCTACCTGTTTAAACTGCTCCTCGAATGTCCAGTTGGTAGCGGTCGATAAGTGACTGTCATCAGCTTCTGTTTTGCATCGTTCTCTACAAAAAAAACATTCTATAGACAAATCAAATTAAAAAAAAAAATTTTTTTTGAAAGTGTAAATGTCAATATTGATTATTGACTTTTAACTTTTTGACTTCGTGTTAGTAAAAACAAAAAAAGCCTTACAAACTAAGGTCCTCCGGTTCATTGGCGCTGGGATGAGAAGAATTTCTGTCTAACTCCAACGATGATGAGGCTTGATTCATCAATGGGCCAAAGTCAAAGTTCATGCCATCACAGCCAGAGTTTTGTTTAATCGCCTCAAGGAATGCATTCATATTGCCCAAGGGAAAGGTGTTGTGCATTCCAAATTCTGTAGTATAACAATTGAAACCGTATTTTACAAAAAAATCAAATTTAAAAAAATTAATTTTTAAAATTTTCAAAAAAATTAAAAAAATTTTTTTTTATTTTTTAAAATAGCTAGGAATGGTTTTTTAAACCAAAAAAAAACATTCTTCTCTCCCCCCCCTCCTTTCTCCCAAAAATGACTATAAACCTACCAGGCTGAAGCCTCGGAGGTATAGCACCAATCTTCTGAAAGATGTTCTCCACACTGTTGTTAGTATTAGTGGAATCGTCAGTCGAATTGTGTTGGTCAGCTTCTTCTACTGGACTGGTTGAGCCAACGGAAGGGCTGGCTTGTTCGGTTTGATGGGCTGGGCTTGGTGAGTGAGTTGGTTTGGTCTGAAAATAAGCATAAGTGTTAATATAAAATTCATTATATTATAAAGTATTAGGTTGTTCAAATAATTCTGCGCTTCTCTCAAAGCAAATTTCGTAAGCATATTTGGGCACAGAATTATTTAAAAAACCTGATAAAAATAAAAAATTTTTGAAAATTTTTAAAAATTATGATAAAAAAGCCAATTCTACAAACTTTTTGATCAATCTACAACGATATAAAGTCAATTAAAACCCACCAATGATTGGAAGAAATCTTTGACAGAATCCGCGTTTTCGTTTGACATCGAATAGAAAGGAGAGCCGGAAGAGATCATGGAGCGCCCGGAGGTAGTGAGAGAGCAAGAGGCAGGGGTACCGTTTACACTTTCACTCGGCTAGCTGAAAAGGAATGAATTTAAGTACGAAGTGTTTAAACAGTAATGTAAATTGAAGAGTAGGCGCGATAATAGGTAAAATACGGTTTTGTGAGTTGATTTGATAAAAATTTAGGAAATTTTGAAAAATAATAGGTATAGATCTAAAAAAAAATTATAACGACTTATGTTTAAGTTAAACAAGGTAAAATACGGAGTAATCTCGTACGTATGTAGACCTGTAAAGATGCAAGTCCGTTTCCAATTTTTTACAAACATGTTTCGGCTTGGTCCAGCCCGACTTTAAATTGATAAAAATAATAACACTGAAAGCTTGGAGTTGGCTGTCGGGCTTGGCTTAGTAGGATCCCTTTAAATTCTACCCTCAAGTCATTTTTTGAAAAAATAAATAAATTTTACGAAAAATGTAGAATGAAATGTTATAGTGAGACGGGGGGAGGAGAGGAGGTTTTTTTTTAATTGGGAGGTGATAAACCCAAAAAATAAAAAAAAATTTTTTTTAAATTTTTTAAAAATGACTTTTTTTTCTACCTCACCTTACCTTTCCTACTCTACATTACGCAACATTACGCTTGTTCACCTTACCCTACCCTAATCTACCTTCCCTCCCCTACCCTACCTTTTCCTTCTCTACCCTACCCTATAATGTCATTTAATCCCCCTCCCTTCCCTTTGCCATTATTGGATATCAAAGTTGGAATAAAAAGTGCGTCGGAATGAAAGTGGGCGTGGCCGCGGCGCGGAGGCTACGGTAATAATTTTACATTCAAATTCCGACGAATATTCTCATAAAAAGTCTCCTCCATTCTACCGTAATTAATTGTTTCCCATACATCTTCATCGTGTATGTGTAGCGAAAGGACTCGATATTGTTTCAAGGCTTTCTCAACAAAGTGCAATACCCGTACTCTGCAAATATCATACAAGTGGTCGATAAAAGCTGATTGCAAGTTGGTTTTTGGTAAAAAGTGTTGAGTTTTGAAGAATTCAGCTTCAGAAAGTAACCAAGTATTGAAGTGGTAGTAGATTCATATTATTAAAAGTTAATAGACGATATTATTAGGTATAAAATATAGATTAGAAAATAACAAAAGCTTCACAAATAATAACCAAATCATCAAAAAATTTTTTTAAAGTATAATAACGTTTTTAAAATTAAAAAAAAGATGAAAAAGCTAAATAAAATTTTAAAATTAAATTTTAAGTTTTAAAAATTTATGGTCAAATCATATAAAACGGCCTATACAATTGAAAATGCGATGTAAAAACGTTGCAAATAGATTTGCCAAGGTGTACCATATCACAAGCATTATATACCGCTTTTTGATTAGATTACTGTAAGATAAAATATTTAAAAATTTTCAAAAAAATAGGTTGCGCAAGGTAGTAATGCTTATTGTTTTGTTTTATTTGTTTTATGTCGTTTCTCAAATATGCAATACGATTACATGGTTAAGGAATAAAAAGATAGTGCAGAAGGAAGGAAGAGGACCATACTTATTTGTCTTACCCCATTTAACTTTAAAAATTTTTTTAAAAATTAGTAATATACAACCAAATATCAAAAAAAAGATTAGTTTGTTCTTACTCTGCTCCTAACCTGCCTTTATCTCGCCACTACTCTACTCCCACCATGGCCCTACCCTGCTTTACTTTGCCTTTACTTTGCCCTTACCCGGCCTTTACCTTGCTTCTACTTTGTCCATATTTAGCTACTACCTTCCTTTATTCTGACCTTACCCTGCATTTACTCAGGTACTACCCTGTCTTCATCCTCTTCTTCTTTCGTTTCTCTGTCCTACCCTAATATCTACCCATTACATATACATAAAATAATCTTAAATTCTAAAGGTAATATTAAATAAAATTATACATAAAATAATCAAATTTAAAAAAATATACGCTTACAAAAGCCCACTACCGTACGCTGAAAGCATGTCAAATAAAAGGAATTGCATGTTGATTGTGTTCGAGATGCAATTATATATCGGTCGATATCTTTTTGCTCATCTTTAAAGCCCTCGGGGGACGTCGGGACAATGGAGAAGCAAACGCTCGAAATTATTATGAACAACTAATAATCTCGTATTACTTTCCGAAAAAAAAATAGTTTTTAATTAAAAAGTAGGGGGGGGCTGGTAAAACACGAAAATTTTTCTAAAGTGTCTAAATGATTAGGCGATGGGGTAAAAGAAAGAATAAAAAAGGGTGGGGTAGAAATTTTTTTTTGACTTTACTAAGATATTAATAACAAAAAAAATAAAAATTTTTTTTATTTTTTACACTTTCATTTCCAAACCAAAATACCACGCCTAGCCCTAACCATAACTACATTTTTGCCATTTATAATATGATATAAGTAATGAAAAACCTAAAACCTTAATAACCTTTCGAAATCGAGCAAAAACTCGGCCCGGCCAACCACGAGAAAGCCGGCTGCCTGATCGAATTGCACTTTTTTCCATTTATTTCTCTCAAATCAAAAACATTTCGCGCTTCGCAACGGAATACGCCCTGCGGCCAATTGGGGAGACCAAATAAAAAAGGGGCGGAGTTTGCGGTTTCGCAGCCTTCAAAACCTTTTAATTCGGCCATTCAGCTTTAAAATTATACCATAAATGGGAGTGGGAGGGGCGGGGATTAAAGACTATTAAAGAATATAATTTGGTTTTAAATTTTAAAAAATTACAAAAAAAAAATTTTTTTTTAATTTTGTATTTTTATAAAATTAGTAAGAATAATGAATAAACCGTAATAAGAAACAAAGATAAGCTTATAAGTTTAGCATAAAAATGTTATACAATTAACTTGGTATTATACCTGCAAAGAGACCCGGGTCTAGACCACGCAAGGCCAAGACTGAGCTAAAACCGGCCTGGACATAGTAAGCCCGTTTTATTTCTAATTATACAGTATGTAACAAAAGTTTTGTCGCTTTTCTGTGTACAAATGATTATAAATTGCCAAGACTATGTCAAGGCTTAAAAGGGATAAAACAATATCTTCATCTCAAAAGCTACACTAACAAGCATATTACAATCACTGTAACAAAAATTTACCATATCTTAAATTAAACTTTATTTAGTAAGGCTTTTTAGCCCGGGATTGGCTGTAAGAATACAATGTAAGTTCTGCATAAATGACTTGTATAACTAAATATTGGTTAATGTAAAATACGTTTTAAGATGATCCAATAACTAAAAAATTATGAAGTCTGAACAACAGATTAAACGATTTTTTCAAGAATGCAAATAAATTTTAACAAATTTTGATTATTCTTCCCCTTTTCTGTCCCTATATTAAAATTGCCTACTTTACACTACCTACCTACAAAATTGTCAACTCTCTGTCTACTACCTACAACATCCAAATTTAAATCAAAACCCACGGCTAAACAAATTTGTGTTACCTGCGAACAGTCAATCCAAATTAAGCCAATAATCTTGTTCTTTTCATTAACTCGAAAAGGACAACATATTGGCCTGAAGCGAAACAAAAGGTCGAGACAAAAGAGTCCGCAACAATATAAAAGAATCATTAATTAGAGCCATCGGGCAGGTGCGGGAAAACTTGGACAACTCTCCCTAATTTGCATATTTGATTAGACATTACTGTTTTCGAGGGTATGGTAAGGTAGGTTTCGGAGGGGGGGGAGAGGAGGAAGAGGGGGGGGATAAGAGAAGAAGAGAAGAAGCGAAGGAAAAAGATAATGAATGAGGGAATAAGCTTTCAAGGTAAATTTATAGAGGAGGGGTGACTAGAAAGGCTTTCTTTAATAATAGAAGGGGATGTTTTGCCATAGGCGTGGGTATTAAAATCAAAAAATTATTTAAAACAAAAAAATTTAGAGGGGAGGGGAAGAGAGAATGGGCATAAAAACAAAAAATTAATAAATTTTTTTAAAAATCTTGAATTAAGTTTTTACTATCTTTCTGCTACTGGACAATGCCAAGTATCGTTTTCGTATTTTACAAATATCTTTAAAAACTCTATTTTACCCTCTCCGAATCCCAAAAACTGACCCCAAACTTTATAAAGGCTTTAATTAGATTGCCCTCTTAATACGGGTGTCACCACTCGAAACTGTGACATAACAATCCCCACTAAGTCGTATGGCCATCTCACAATTAAACCACTGTAAAGTGGGTGGCATAATCAAAACAATAGAGTTGGCATAAATCACTTATTGGGCGGGGGGAGGAGGGGGGAGAAGAAGAGAGGGAAGGGGGTGAAGGGAGAGGAAGAGAGAGTAAGTAGTATAGTAAAGATGAATAGGGGTAGCAAAGAAAATATTGTAGTAAAATTAACCATTTATTACATTGTGCAAATAATTACGTGTCCCTCAAAATTTTTTTTGTAGTAACGGGGCACAGAATTATTTTGACAACCCGATAAAAAAATAAAAAAAGTAAAAAAAGTATTGTCGTTTTTTTCCCGTGAAAAACAATACAAAATAACGACAAAACTTTTTTATATAGTTTTTGTTAAAAACTCGGTATAAAAGCTCAAAATTTAATACAATATAGAACTAAAGTAACAACTAATCAAGTCTTATATCATCATTTTAATAGCAAATTCAAACATAAAATAAGCAACGTTTTCATTCTACCGTACCTCTTCTAAAGCACCGAAAAACCAAAATAATCCCCTCAAACACAAACATTCATCCGGAGCAGGCGGATTGAAATGATATGCCTTCTACACAAATACAATCAAGATATCAGGGGCAGGTGTGTGTGCAGATATATTTTGTTCTATTGATTCCTTGATTAAATGACAACTTTTCGAAAAAAACTGCAAAAACCGCCGTTCATGCGGACCCGCCTCTTATTATGCCACTTTTTGATTTTTGAAGTTTATAGAATTGAGGGAAAACGGCTGATAAATTAAAGCACAATTGCCAAACCAAG